GTATAAAGAAATATAGTCTTAAGGTGTGCTATATTTATGGGATAAAGTGCTCGATATCAGAGATAGAGCATGTGTAAATATAAAAGTGAACATAAAGTCAACACTTAGAGGCGACAGTCTGTTTCATATAGCATGAAACAGACTGTCGATTGCTATGTTGACTTCTATGTTCACTTTTTATATATATATATATATTCAAATCACACAACTAAAAATCTCTTATAGTAATGCTAAATATTTTTTTTTTTTATATAGAGATAATTTAAAGGTGTAACTTTTACACACAATGTCGAATGGAATGACTCATCTCTGAACTTGATTACTGAAATAGGATGTATAACTTTCTAGCCTTATATTTATCAATTCTCCTGTATCCCTACCACATTAGTGGTCAGTTAATAAAAAGCTACATCAAATTAGTAATAGGTTACCAGATTAAGCATTTGTATAATATATTCATTATTAAGCTGCTGTTTACAACTGACCAATTTTATTTTTCTTAAATTTTTGATTAAAAAATTCTGATGGCCTTCTGCTAGTTATTTTACCAAGGGCTTTAAAAGTACTATTTGATTTTGTTTCTTTTAATCTAGTATAATAGAATAATAGAATCTACTGAAGTTGAATGTCAACGCATCATTATCATATTCAAATGATAAAATCCTCGAAAGTAATTATTTTCATTTGATTAAAAAAAATGTATCTGCCAATGTATCTATGAAAAATTTGTATAATGAAAGGCTCCTAACAAGGAACACAGATCTGTTACATATATTCAAGAGTGACCACATCTTTTGATATACCTATTATCATTATTAGCTGTGCTTAGAATATCCTTTACACCAGATGTTTTTGTTTTTTTTTAAATTGGTTCTGTAGCCTTTTTATTTTTAATGAGCTAAAGATATTTTACTTACTACACAGATAAAACTTACTCAGATGCCATTGATCTCTAAGCTTTATTTGTAGTTTTGAAGTCCGCTACTAATAAATCTCCTTTCCTTGCTAACAGAAAAGATGAAAAAAAACAAAAAAAACACCACCAATAAATTTCATTTTTCTATCAGAATGAGATTTTTTTTTTGGTTATTTCTGATTTTACTAGTAAAAATGTTCAATTTTTTCAATGAAAGTAATAATTCATTGGGGATTTAAAACATTTTTTAAACTGATGTTTTTAAGGTACAAATATACTTTTTTTTTTTCTATAAACAAATAAAATAAATTATATATGTTATTCTAATGTGAAGAATTTCATTCCAGGGCCTTTTTTGGAGCCTTTTTGGTTTTTCTTAACTTTAACATTTTGTTTTATTAAACAAAAATATATATATATATATAAAATGTTTGTATATATTTTTGAGGTTGATCTTTACTTTTTATTTTAATTAAACATTTTTTAAAAGTTGTATTGCAAAGTATTTATATATTTAAATAAAACACTAATTTACAAATTGTCATTGTTTTATTGATAAGGATGGAACTGTTTCACTGATGTAAAAAGGTTTTTTTTCAGGGGCAATTGTATCATTTAAATTATTGAAGCCTGTGAAGATGCAAGTTTATACATTTTTAAGTAGGTACAAAAGGAAAAACAATATACTAAAAACAAATAATATTTGTATATCTTATTGTGATGTGATTGGTGAATGCAGCATATGTATAGAAGCTAGAAGAAGCATGCTGAAGATACAAGACATAACGTAGTCTTCTGGCTTGTTTATAAATTTTTAAATAGGTACAAAAGGGAAAGTCTTGTTTGCTAATTAGTATAAAGAGAAGTTGTTTTGTATAGCATTCCATACTTATATCATAGATCCATGACAGTGTTAACATACAAGTCTGTAGATGTCAGTTCTTAGTTTTGCTTACAATTCTGTAAAGCGCTTGAACTGATCTAAAAAAAATGATGTATTATGCTCTATATATTATTTAGTTTTATAGACTAGATTTGCTGATGTGTCTTAAAAATAAGAGCAAACATAATTTAAACCCAGAGATAAAGTTTATTAATTATATGAATTTGGTATGATTGTAACATTGTACCTGTCATTAATCTTGTTTTTGCATAAATAATATATAATCTGTGTTGTTCTCGTCGCAACTTTTTGTATAGGAAATACTTTTACTCATGACCAGAATGATTGAATGGAGAAAATAAAGTAATCAGGTTCTTATGCAAGTGATGACTCTAGTTCAAGATTAGCTATTTGAAGAGTTGTTGAAATAGAGTAAATGAAGCTCTTTCAAGATCTATTCCTTCTCTTCTAAAGTATACTCCTTGAAATGTCCAAAAGATTTAGATAATGTGACACTACACAGTTTTTGAAGAGACTTTTTTTTTAATCATTTAATTTAAAATTAATAAAGCCATAAAAATGCAAGGGGTTACTGAGTGTGAGAGAATATGAGAAAAAGAAAACATTAAGGAGAAGGGAAAAAAAAAATAACAGAACAGGAAGACAGAAGATAATGATGTTCAAACTTGAAAGCAAGAAGTGTGAGAGAAGAAACTGTTAGCTTAGAACTTAAGGTTACATCTAGCTATTTCAGCTGTAAAATGAAGAGATTTAGTTGCCAATCTAGTGTGCTTAAATTCATAAAGTCTAGATACCAAAGAGGATTAGAACAATTATGAAAATATAAGAGAGAGACAGGGAAGCAATTTTACTGCAGTAGGAAAATTACTGAAACTGAGATGTCAGGACCAATAATATTGCAGATTCTTCTTTGTATTTTATGAATAATCTCTAAATATATAGCAGGAGCATCAGACGAGATGTGACATCAATATTCAATGCATGGATAAATGGTAGACTTATAAATGGTGTAAATCTATCAGCTATGATTTGATTATTTCAACAAGTATTTTCTATTAGGATTCATCTTATTTTTCAGCTTTCAGCTTGTTATTTTAATAACTGACAATGTTTCATCTAAGGAAATTGATACTGTTAAATCTGATATTATGAGTAAAAAATATAGCTAAATTTGGAGGACTCCTAGTAATTGATATTCAGTAAGACACATCTAGGGAAAGTTTGGCTCCTAAGGATAGGGAATGCGAGTTCAATTCTTGCCATAGGATTATTCTTCATTTCTATACTTATTTAATAATCATCAAATAATGATCTGAGTTATGATAAAGATGAAACGAATATTAGTTAACCATAAAGAACAACATTTAATCTAAAAAATTTATTTGATGCATTCTGAACAAAAGTTTCATAACTAAATAAAAGTTTCTTTCTCAACAGACCTCTTGTTCCAATGGAAATGATTTTTCTTGTTAACCCATTGAATCCAGAACATTTTGGATAAATTTTGATTTCAGAACAGTGTTATATAACAACAAATTAATAGTGGCAGCAAATGGCTAGTACAATATTGCTCATCTGAATAGCATTGTTAGACTGAAATTCTTTTCAGTGATTAGTTGATGAGTGATGTACAGATAAATCAGTACTACAGGTTCAGTTGGTTATATTTTAACTCTATCTTCTCACTATTTCCTGTCTTGGTCCTAAATGCTAGATAACATTACTGAGTGACTGAATGCATTTGTTGTATTGTTATTATGCACTCATAATAAAAGCTAATATAGCAAGGAATGAATAAAAAATTGCTAAAAGAAGTTCAATAAAGCTAAAACTTCAACAATAGTAAAGCTAGTGATGATATACTTCCAGTTGAGAAAACAACAGCAACAAAGGTGTAGCAAGTTAGTTTATAGAATGCTGCTCAGACATTGGATATTTTTCTAGATAAAAAAAAAAAAAAAAAAAGGCCATTGTAGAAAATAGTTCAAACCAGGTTCATTAATGATTTTGGAGAGATAGAACAGATACATTCAAATTATAATTTAAAAAAAAATAAAATTAACATTTAGTAAGTTTGGCTATTTGTTAATCTCCAACTTTCATCCATTTGCTTGTATTAATTCGTACAATTGGTTTTTTCATAAAATTTAGTTGGTATCTTTTAAGAAGAATCTCAACTGATTCATTTCTTTTATGTCCAAAATTTACTCCAGGTATTTTATTGAAGTACAAAACTATATATATATATATATATATATATATATATATCCACTATATTATTACAAATAAAATTATCCAAGATTTGAAAATGTTGACTACAAACTAAAAATGAAATGTGCATATATCCCTAGTTTTCTTAGTTGCATTAATTTAGGAACATCAACAATCTCTCTCTTCGTTTTCAATGCACAACATATCAAGTGCTAAAACTTGATAAAAATAGCCCTGCAAAAATCCTTTTCCCTTGCATTAAGATTGATATTCATTCAGTGGGCAATTGCAAATTCTTGTGAGGGGATGCCAAAATGTATCCTTTGTATCTTTAAGGTATGTATCTGAAGTTAATAGTTTCCATAAGTATTGCTGAACATTTGGTAAGTACCTAATGACTGACTTTTTAAATTGCTATATTTGCTCATATGAGTTGCTTCCAAAGTCTAAAAATACATGTGAGGTTCTAGGTTATTGATTATGAAAAATATAGGAAGATGCTTAAAATTATAAGGAATCAATTTTTATTCATTTGCAACAGATTAGCTATCAAAATGAGATGACTGAATAATCAGTAAAATGTATTTTTTTTTTTTTTAAAACCTTGTATTTGATGTAACAATTAAAAAAATGAATTTGGTTACTAGTATCTCAATAGACCTCTTTCAGATTTAACTGCTTGGGATCATATTTGAAAATGATTTTTACATAAAGGGAAAGTTCTTGGATATCATGACAAAAACAACTACTTATGATACTAAATATATAAAAGTTTCTTTTTCAGTGTCTGTTTGTTGCCTTTAAATAACATTGAAAATTTGTTAATAACTATGAAGAGAACATTTTTTTAAACTTATTTATTTAAAATGTAAATAGAAAATTTATATGTTCCAGCATTTTTCATTTAAAAATTAAATTTATTCTGTACAAATATGTAAATATGAGAGCAATTTTTGATGGATGAAAGATTTATTCATCCTCATGATGAATTCCTATGTTAGCCAATAATTCATGGACACTGACTTCTGCTTTGTTGATACCCATAATGGGGGCCATGGCTGATGACATACTGTTGTAGATTTTGGGGAAAAGAAGTTCCTGTGTAGCCAACAATTGCTTCATTCGATGACGTTCCTAAAAAAAAAAAAAAAAAATAATTTAACCATACCATTATAATTTCAAGCAATGGAGTTTTTAATCTGACATTCTAACTACTAAGACAGGTATATGTTTATAGTGTGTAGCCTCTGTCTTTGACATGCTTAGAATGATTCTAATCCAAGAGGCTACATACTGCCAAAAGTTTTCCTTAAGATAAATTTTATTTAAATAAAAGACTTCAAATATACCATTTGTGCATAGTTAAAAAAAAAAAAAAAAAAATATTGTATTAAATCTCAGGAGAATAATTTTTTTTTTTTTTTTTTTTTCAGTTTGATCAGTGGGCATATTTACCTTGATCACTCATGGTTAAATATTAATCTTAAAAATGATCTGAATATTTTCAAGTAAAAGCAAAATAAATACTACATTTTTCAGAAAATAATGTTGCATTATTGGAAACAACAAAGACCTGTTCAAATGTAACAAACATTAAATTTATTTGTCAAGAACAGAATTATTATTATTAGCAATGATGAAAGCCCATCATGAAAAACCTATGTCAACATATAAATTAGGGATCACCAATGTTTCACTAAAAAATAGCATACGATGATGAAAAAAGATCACAAACTTGATAAAAAAATTTATTATCTAAATATTTGTTATTATTAAGAGGAAAGACCAAAGTATTTTTTTGATTATTTTAATAAATTTTTTAATCCTTTTTAGAACATGCGGAATACCATTAAAAAGCATGTCTTAACCGTGTGACTTTCGTTTGAGTTGTTAACTGACAGTTACGTTGATGTATTGACAGCTTAGGCCAGGGTGAAGTTATTGGACGGAAGAACAGACGTGACAATTTTTTTTAAATTTTAAGTGAACTAACTTATTTAGCTACACAGTAATTTTTAAAACTTAAATACTTTCAGCAATGTAATATTTTGTTTTTTTTTATAGGTACTTTAGCTTTATAGTTTTACATTTGAAGATGATATCTGGAAAAATAGAACTTACTACAAATAAAATAAATTTAAAATTTCATAACTGAGAGTGAGATAAAATTTTATAAGAGAGGTACCTATAATTTTTACGTACATCTCTTATGAAATTTTATGGTATTATTTTATTTTTTATTAATTTTTATATCTCAGTTATGAAAAAATTTCACAACTGAGATAATATAAAAATTAATAATTAAAAATAATACCATAAAATTTCATAAGATAGGTACCTAATAATTAAATATCTCTTTCATTTTTAAGGAATGTTATTTTCTTTTTTATTGTGTAAATTTTTAATTTTCCTTATTTTTAATATTGTTATATGACAGGTATGAACATGTGAAATTTTTGTATTATGTAATCATTTACACTTTTTATTTAATCATAGTCCACAAAAAATAGAAGTGCTGTGCAATTGATTTTAGACTTTTGTGAAAATTTGGTGGCCCCTTTTTGAATATATTCTAATGAAGATATGTCCAAAGCCTGAATTAGTTTCCATCCCTAAAATTGAAACTAAAAAAGAAGATAATAAATAATTGCAGTATATCTTTCACCAAAAAACAGTAAATTAATTATATTTAAAAAAATTAAATTATTTAGTGAAATAAGACTTATAAAAAAAATCTTCTAAAAATGCAATTATGATAGAGAATTCAACATGTGTTCACAGTACGAAAACTTTTCTGAGGTTAGTTTATTGCAGTCAGGGGAAACAAAATGTCGATCATCTATATATTCAGGGTGGGGGAACGTTTTTATGCACACTCAAAAACAGTGTAAAATTCTTTTTTTTAAATACATGTGTGTTGCAGATTATTGTATGGCGACAAAGATGAGGACAATAGTCCGAATAATGTAAATAATGTACATAATACCTCATATCAGAAATATAGATGTGTGTATATATATATATATATATATATATATATATATATATATATATCTCTTTCAAATTTATGATATGTAAAAATAGATCTACTTAATAACAACATTCCCTAAAATGCACAGATTGAAACTTATTTTAAAATTATCATATTTTATATTTAAAAAAAAAAACAAAAAACAATTCTTGTAAAATTTTATTTTTCATTGGAAAAATATTTTGGCTTCAGACAATATTGTCCTTAACATATATTATTCATAAAAGCCATTAAAAGCTTTTCTAATCTACAATTCAGAGCTGATTTTTGGTAACTGTAATTTGGTTTTATAAAAAATTGATTTATATTCTTCAAAGTTTTCTGCATTTAACTAATATAATCAATAAAAGTTACATTTAATTTTTTGAGTTTTCATAAAATTAAGTAAGTGAGGTGGGTAACATATGTAAAAAAAACAAAAACAAAACACGTCTAAAATAATTCATTTGTGAATAAGTTTTGAAAGTTTCATTAAAATCCAACAATTATTTGATTTTTGCAAGAATTTAAAAAAAAAAAAAAGTTTTAATGCCCAAAAAGACACTAAAAAATCCCACTACTAATCCCCCTCCCCTGCACTGAGGCAAGAAAAACAAGATTTTTAACCAAAAATTCAAACATGCTAGAAAGGATGAAAATTTTTTTTATAAAATCAAAAAATACTTTGGTCTTTCCTCTGAATAATAAAAAACAATTTGATGATAAAACTGTTTTCATCAAGTTTGGGTCATTTTTGTTCATCATGGTATGCTCTTTTTTCAACAAATTAGTGGCGATACCTAATATAAATTGAAGCTCCAATCTTGTAAGGTTTTGGTTAATGATTAGTTGAATCTATAAATATTTCATTCATTATGAGTTCTTAAAAGGCAATCATAACAAATTGTGATTATCAAGAATAAGTAATGATTAAAATTTATAAAAAATGCTTTGATTTGATCCACACAAAGCTATAACCCACTACCCCGGTGCTCTGGTCTAAAACCTGGCCAGCAGTCGCTGGTCGTTCAATCCACAAACTCCCTGCCATGTTGTGATTTTTGATCTCAGGGTGACATAGATTGAATTTCACAGTAACTAGACATATTGAATTACCACATTGCTGGGCACACAAATGAAAATAATTATTCCTGTAGACAGGAATGACCTTGGGAATTCACTGGTCAAATTCAACAATTTTATATAAATTTAGAATACAAATAAATCGAGTTCAGCCCTTCCTGCATGAACATATTAGCGGCTTGCTGCTTTTACTTTGCTGGAAACAATCTACCTGTAAATCAGGTAAGTTTTGGTAGTAAAGTAATTGTTGGCACTTGTTCAGTCTTGCTGTGGTCTAGGTTCCAACTGTTCCTCTCTCTGGCTTTAGCTCCAACTTCAACTACTGTTCAACTCTAAAATGTCCTAAGTGTTTTTTTTTTGTTTTTTGGGGGGCCCTATTTCCAAGCTGGAGTAGGATAGGCTTTTCAGTGTTTCCCCCAAGTTTCTTAATTAATTAATCCAATTCTAACAAGGTTTCTTCATTTAGAATTTTCTTATGTGGTATTATGATTTCCAAATTTGGGAATTACCTCGTCCCACAGGGAGTGGGCACAGGATTTGCTCCTCCCTGTTGCTCCCAATTCCTCAGAGCCATGGCTCTCACTAGTACTTTGGTAAGGTGGAGACAATCATTCACCTCAGGCCTCTTTATATCTGCCACTTCCTTGAGCTTACATCACTGACTTGGTAGAGTTAAGTCTTTTTCTACATAACTTTCCGAGCCCCGTTTTGGTAGTCATCCATTTCGTTTTTTTGACTGTCAACAGTTTCACATCTGCGATTTTTAGCTGTCTTTGATTTTTCTTTCAGAGTAAAAAAAAAAAAATTTGCTGCGTTTCTTCATTTATCGTTCTATCCTTTAACTTTTTTAGACCATTTCCAACTTTTTTTTCATCAGGCCACTTTGCCAAAACTTGTCATGTTTTATTGCACTGTCCTAACTCACCCAGCTTAGTATCTTAAAATTTTCAAAAGGTAAAATATATATATAAAAAAACAGAGAAAGACCAAGTACTATCAAAATCTTTTATACAGAATCTCATAATCTTTTAATAGAGAATAAAAGAATTAATTTCACTATAGGCTTTTACCACAGCTAATAATGATTATTTTCTTGACAAATAAATTTAATTCTTGTTTGATTTGTTTTTTTATCCTGTATCAAAAAAACACAGTTTAAACTGAAGATGCAGCCAAGACAAAACTCAGTCATCATTCCCTTATGAAGCAAGTCTTACAGGTCACTTATAATATATTTTCCCTTAAAGTTATATAATGAAAACAGGTAAATAAGCAGAAAAAAAAAACAGTGACTTTTCTATGTATCATTTTGTTTCCTTTTCTGTAACTTGTTAGAATGTCTAATATTAACAAACAAATCCTGTCCTGTGACATATCCATTATGCCAGTATTCTGCTGCTTGAATAGCATGGTAAAATTAACTTACAAATTTAGACTGATACTATGCTGATCATTGGCAGCAGTTGGTAAGTGACATTTTGATTTTAGGAAGAAGAATCAATTCATACATAGTACCTGTCATAAATGATGGGACTATGCAAGTTTTGTATAATTAGTTAAATTATGGCAACATAGAGAAGTAACTTTAATTTTAAAACAGTACAAGAAATGACATTGACTTTTAAGGTGTACATTGCAGACTGGGAAGTGCCACTCAAAGAATGTGTGTCCCAGAATATTATTAAAATGAAACATATTAACACAATACTTTGAGCATTTTGGTTCACAACACAGCTTTATATTTACTTCAGTGATGGAGATTTTAGCCTGCACTATAATAATAATAATAATAATAATATAGCTTAGGGAGGATCTTTGACAATAAAGCCTCACCAATCTGCAGGGTAAGTACAGCATTTAGTCAAAACCATGATATTTCTGACATGGGTGGGTTTCCTCATTTGAAAGAAAATAAAAAAAAAATACATGCATCTCACTGTAATGAACCTAACAGCACAAAAGCAAAAATTTCACAAGTGAACAATATGAGAAGGAATTTTTATTAGGAAAGAATGGATAATAGAAAAGACTGAAATTTACTATTATTTATGTTAGCCATGATATCATAGATACATTTATTGAACAAATGTATCAAAACTTTATAGTAATTATATATATATATATATATATATATAATCATTTCACTCCAAGCAAGGCAGTAATGCAATTAGGCTACAGGATGGCTCAATTATCCTATTTAAGAAATGCATATCTCATGTTGGGACTTTTGAAATTGAAATGCACACAAAGTAATTGTTTATGTTTCAGGTATAAAAATATATATTGATACAACAAATAATAAAAAGTAAATATATATATATATATATATATATATATATATATATATATATATATATATATATAAATAGCAAATGCATTATTTTAATACTAGTTATTAATGTAATCTTTAATATCACAAGGACAAATATATAAAAACTGTCATTCACTGTAATGATAACATATATAGTGGCATAGCAAATACTAAATGATATAAAAATACCTTAAAAGTAATTATTTTGAAATCAATAAAGTTCTCTTACCTTGGGCGCTTCAAAACAGGCAGGACAGTTTTCATTGATCACAGGAAGTTGACACTGAAAAGAAGATAAAAAAAAATACAATAAATTTCTTCAGAGTTTTTTTTTTTAAATTCAAATCCTATTAAACCTTATCCATGCAGATGATCTGGCCATCATCAGTTACTCTAGAACTGATCTGCAAAACTTTCTGAATGTACTGGCCAAATTTGCAACATCTCAAAAACAAAGTGCATGGCAACTACTAGAAACAATCCCAACATGCAACTTACAATCTATAACCAGGAAATCACTCAAGTTACAGAGTTTGTATATCTTGGTCACAAGCTATCATTAAACAAAAATACAATGGTTGCTTGCATTGCATCACTCTGGTTTTGGCAGTTTTCAACAAGAACAAAAAGTGTTAACGTCAAACAAGATTTTCATCATTTGAAGGCTAAGATCTTTGACACTTACATCTTACCAGTTGTGTTATATGGTCTTGATTGTGTTAACTGGATGACAAAGTCAATTCAAAAGTTTTACATTCCAGAACCACATCATAAGGCTATTGACTAACAAACACCTCAGTGACTATATTTCTATGAATGAGCTACTCAATGTTACCAAGCTTAAAGCCAATCACATCAGTTATCAATCAGGAGTACTTAAACTGTATGGTTGTATCAAAAGATCAACTCATGGCATAAGTAAATTATGCTCAAAAGGAAGTTTAGCTGGTAAGAGAAGCAAAGGTCAACAATCAAAATGCTGGCTTGATAATTTCCATTTATGGACTGGATTTGACCTTTACTCTTGGTGATGGAACTTTGTGGAAAATATCTCATGTTGATGTGCAATCTGCAGCAAGCAGAGTAAGTGATTGATGATGATGATAACACCCTAAGTTTGATTAGTCGCCAGGATCTGTCTTTAACATTGAATTTTAAAACTCTCAGTAGCTATAACACTGCTCAATGAGTTGATCCAGCATCAAAGTTGTTCTTGTTAATACAATAGCCAATTTCTCATTGTTATTTCTGGATTCACTATGCATCTTTGAGTGAGTAAATAGTCATCTATTATTATTAACCTCAACACATCCATGTTATTTTATATAACAGCTGATTTGGCTCTTGTTGATTAAGAAAAAGCATTAAACTCAGAAATTTTTAACTGATGATAAGAGCAGAGTATTCGAGGTAATTGCATAAAAGTAAGAGAATATATATTATAAAATATTAAAATTTGTTTATATAAAAACTGTTGTAGAGTAGTTTCACAGTGGAGGCTTGTATTTCACTAAATCGGTCCTAAAATAGGTTCGATGTACAAAATGTTAGGAACTTGATATAATGACGCAGAGAAATCTAGTGGTGGTCGCTGATACTTTAATATCCGACTAACGGTCGTCCAACATCGACTGACTGACCAACTCTCTGACTGACTTAGCGACTCCTACTACTCCTACTTATTATAGGTGGGAGAGTCTATTAACTATAGAATAGGTGTGTTCCAGTATAACAAAAAAATAAATAAAGACTGGATATGGCATTAGATATACAAGGAAATACAATTTTGCTTAAGTTATTTACTGCATGCTTTGAAAGTATCTTTCAGCAAATGAAATGAGAAGGAAAAGGTGTAAGAATAAATGGAGAATATTTTAACCATCTCTGATTTGTGGACATTATTTTACAAATGCCAGAATCATCAAATAAATTGCAAGAAATACTAAATAACTTGAATAGGGAAAAAAACAGTCTTAAAGTAGGTTTGAAAGTAAACAGAAATTTAATAAAAATAATTTTAAATTGTAATGTTCCAAAAAAGATCATAAGAATAAAGGATGAAAAATTGGAGGAAATCCAGAAATACATTTATTATGAAAATGAAATCAAATGACATGATTGGTTGGAAAGCATTTAATAAAAATGGAGACATGAAAAGGATCTTACCAATATGCTTGAAATAATGAATGTATATGCCGGCTATAATGCACAGGTGTGAAACATGGAAGTTAGCAAAAATATTACAAAACAAAATTACACAAAGATCCATAGAAAGAGCAATGCTAGGGATAAATAAGATATATCATAGAAGTGATAAATATGGAAGTGAATTGGACACAGAAAGAAGAAACAATAACAGAACAAAAAGTGGGCCAATTGGTGCCCTGTAGACAGAAAATGCAATTGGGAAAATAAAAAAACAGTCAATAATGGTGTGATGAGACATAAGAGTTCACTGGTGATACATAACAAAGAATAGTACAGTCATGGTTGTTATGGAAGGAGTTGGGAAAAGCCGTTGTCCCAAACAGAACTCACAATGGCTGCTGCTGATACATATGTAAGTACATCAATAAGTTCATAGTTTAATGATGGATAATGCATTTATTTAAAAAAAACAAAAAAACAATTATTTTTCAACATAATCTCCTTCCTCATCCATGCATTTAACCAAACACTTCTCAATATACATAGATTAAACATTATACAGTGAGAATTTCAGCCATGTCAGGCTATGGACTTATCAAACCAACCTTGTAAGGCATGTTCAAGAAATTATGGCTTAAAAACATTTTCTAAACATAATGTTCTTGTTGAATTAATAAACTAAAAGTAATTTCTGTTTGATTGAGGAGGAGTCAGCTGGTTTAGTGGGCTTGTAAAAGCATTTTTTTAGCTTGCTTCATTCACATTTGGTAATGACTTCTGGCTATCTGGTCATAGGAAATAGAAAATTACCTTGCTTGCAAACATTCGCAAATCTTTTTCTCTGACATGAACCAAAGGCCGAATGACATGTAAATCACCCTCTCTGGAAAGAAAAAAAATATTCATTATGAGATGAGTATAATTTTATAACCAATAGTATAATACATTTATTTTGAAATCTTTTACCTTCAAATAGCTGTGGAGTTACACAAGTGTCATGAATAATTTGATAAGTTTAATAAAACCAGTTAATGAGAAAATTTAATTCAAATTGGCTGATGTGATAAGAAGATTTTAGATTGCATCATTTATCTATATAATACACTTTATGCCTATATATTTGTTTTGTCTTTAACTTTTTGCTATAATAAAGTAAACAGATATATAGAATGACAAGTGAATGCTACCCTGATTTGAAAACACAAACTTGTGATAACTAGGTAAGTGATATATCTTCTAGGCTAATGATCTGCTTGAGCAACATGGTAAAGTTAACTTGAAAATACTAAGTTAGGTAGAGTGCACTGGTCCTAGGCAGAGTGTACATATATATATAGCAGAGAACCGAGGCGCAATATTTTGATCCCCAGTAGAAGGCATAGATTTGCTGATCCATACATAAATAATCCTGTCATTTTCTTATAAATGGGGGAGTTTGACATGGAGGAGGCTTGTCTGTTAAAGTCAGTTTATATTCACTTTGCCTTGATCTAATGCCTTTGGCAAAAGTATGAATTCACTTTTTCTGCACTTTGTCATATCACCACAGTAGCATTTCTTATGATGGTAGACTACACTATTACTTACCTGACTTGTCTTAGTCTTTTTCTGCATTAACAACCTAAATATTTCAGGTGGTAATGAAAAAAGTGATGATTAAACTCTAAATGTGGTTATTTTTAATTAAAATTTATTAAAACAGCAAATTTTGCCAATCAATACGTATGTTGTGGATTGAAAATAAATCAGAAACAAACTTGTCAGGTACCAGAGATTAATGCAAACCTTACTGGCAGAACAGGATTATTATATACTAGCAGTAGAGCCAGGCGTTGCCCGGGGATGTAAGAGTAAGAGATAGATCAAGTATCGACCATCATAAAGACTGAAAAATAAAATTGACAAAGATTATTGTTAAAGGTTGACGGACATGCATGTCTTAATTAGTTTTTTTTTTTTACGAATTGGTCAAACCCAAACTCAAACAAAAACATTGTTTTCAATCGTTATGAGTCTATCGATTGAGTAGAATTTTATTATAAACAATTTTCTTGTAAATGGAATTTTTAAAGCATTCTGAATGTAAAAATAAAGAAAAAAGTGTGCAAGACAATAAGAAACACTACCTGCCAAAAAAAAAGTGAAATTTTGTTGAAATTGGTTGAAAAATGTAGGAAATCCGATCCCATATATAAACGAACGCACACACACACAAACAACCTGGGTTTTTATAATAAGTGTAACTCGATATGAGTTGTCCCCCTTTCATTCTTGCGATGCCTCTTAATTGTGTTTTCAAATTGATTTCGTGCAAAAACAATTGTGTTTTTCCAATTTTTGGCTCTGTCAGAACCACTGCAAGGTAATTTTACGTAGTCCTGTAAAGTTTTGTTGAAATCCGTTGAAAAATGTAGGAAATCCGATCCAATATATAAACGTACAGACACACACACACACGCACACACACAACCTGGGTTTTATAATAAGTATGATCTAATTATTAGCTGCTGTTTTATTAAGATAAAAGAGAAAATGAAACTTACTTTACTGTATAGTGAGCTTTCATTGTCCGTAAAATTCCATTATGGAAAAATGACATCAAAAAACTGAAAGAACCAAAACAGGAGATGGTCAGCATTAGAAATACACTTTAGAGTAACAACTACTCTTTAAACAAAACATCAGCTTCTACAAGCAGGAACAGAAGAAAATAAAACGCAACAATGAAATATCTGCCACAGTCTATCTTACAACATTAGAACAGTATTCAAAAAAAGTTTAAGCCTATGGAGATATCTCTCCTTAACCAAGCCCACCTTGAAAGAAAACATGTATTCCATTTTATGTAGTTCTGGCAAGGAATACAAAGTAGAGATCATCCAGTTTCTAAAAGTAATGGTGGAAGAACATCAAAAACTACTTGTCTGGAGAGAGACATTGAAATCAATTATGGCTGATCATATATGGAGGGAAAAGGGTTATCATCAACCCCTGTGGAATTAAGTGAAAACAGAGATCAACACTGGAAGACAAGACAACAACATGTTAGACACTGACATCTTCCACAGTAGACCTCACATAGAGATGAATATGATCTCAGAACCACTGATTAAGAAAGAAAAGACACTGATAAATTACAATAGGCCACAAATGTTACAGGCTTAAAAATTCCGCAGGTTATGTGTACCTATCAATTAATGTGTTCTGTCAATTTACTTCCATATATGCACAATACTATGTAACCTACTGTAAGAGTACCAAGAGTTTTAGTAAAATAGAGATAAATGGATGTTGATGGTTGTAATCTGAGTTCAGTATGTTAGGCAACAGGCTGGTGTAATTAAATGGTGTCTGTGTGTGAGCTGATTATTCTGCTAACAGAACAAAGTGCATCTTTAAAGAATACAACAGCATGTGTTACATTCATAATTAAAATACTAAAACACCAATAAAAACCCAGTTTACCTTTCAGCCAAGTCATCTAAATGCTGTCCAAGTGCAATGACATTGTACTTTTCCCGACGAGCACAAGCATAGATGCGGCCTCGTTTCATACGACTACAGAAGCTGCAGATAGATTCACATTTATAGGGAAGGTTGGCAGCAGTTTCTAAAATACCTGTGAGAGAGAGAGAGAGAAACAAACAAATTTATAAATCAAAAGTTTTATTTTAGTTTTTATACAACTGACATTTTAATTTTGGATGTTTTCTGCATGAATTTCTTTTGAAAGAAAAAATCCCAACTTCAAACAAAAGAAATCACTTTTTGAGCAAGATGCATAATTGTGTGATGCTTAAACTTTAATTACATTCTTAGCAAAAAATATAAGTTTTTCAGGCCACTGTCAAAATTAATAAGTGTTAACTTTTTACAGCTATTATTGTTTCGACAGTAGTTATAAGGGAGTAATTTGTGCAAGTGATTACTTGCCTATTCTTCTCCAGCATCATGGCATACCAGCAACAAGCAAACATTTTTAAATATATCTAATCATTGGACAGAGCATGAGAAGAAATGGATTCATATTTTCAAGGTTATCAGTTGTCAATTTCCTCTAGCATAGATTCCTCTATCCAGCTTGTCAACTTCAAGGTCTTCTAAACACCTAGCTTATATAGCCAGCTTCTGCCACCAGTTTACCTCAAGGTGGATCTTGATTGGCTAATACTGCTGCTCTAGTGCCACCATTCTCAATCTTTCTCTTCTCCAATCATGCAATTAGTCAAGGGGAGATAAGTCAATTATCTCAACGTCAGTGATATCTAGTAATTCCATTCAGTAAGTATCTAGAATACAGGGAGAGATGAATTCATGCCTTTCTTAAGAGCATTAGTGCTATGTAAACACAAAATTCTGTTTATTAATTCCATTAATTGTGCTAATAACTGTTATGGTACTGTGTACTTCCATTCTTAGAAAATTAATGACAAAAAATGAATTGTTGTTTTTCATCAAAACTGAACCAGACTAATAGCATTCCATTTATAGTAATAACAAATAATATCAGATTAAAATAAATTCATTAATTGCTAACAAATTACTCTAGATTATGTACTTTTAAAGATTCAAAAAAGAGATATCTTGCTTAAATAGGATAATTGACCCTTGCTTTACTGTAATGTCTTCCTGTAGCTTAATGGTAAAAGCACACCTGGCCTGAAGGTGGTTTTTCAGATTAAAAAGAGAATACAGGTTTGATTCTTGTTAGTAAGCATATTTTCTTTAATAAGATATTTGATCCCTAAACCAGTAAATAGATATCACTTTTTTAAAAAAGTATGTCTACTCAACTATATATATCCACTAAATATGTTTATAATAACAAGAAATAATTTTCACATCAAAACCTACAGAAGAGCTGTCTGATAAGAGGCAACAAATCATTGCAAAGAATGGTGAATATATAATAGAATGAAATGTAATTGAACTTTATTTTTTGAAGAATATAAGTTGATAAGCAAAAACAAATTATTTATGATTCAACTGTACAACTGACTGGCCAATGTGCCAAAAGTAGGCACACAGAAGAGTTGAACGAAGTGTATGACTTAATATTTGAATATGTATTATTTCAAAACAATCCAACTAACCTTGTGATTCAAAGAAGTATGGTATATTCAAAGTAGCTAAATATTTCTTTAAAGGACTGGGATCATAAGCTGGAGTTTGGGGATCCACTGTGACTGCACCAATTTCAAAATGAATGCCCTGTAATATAAAAAGTTAATTTAGATAAATGATAATCATAGAATCTTTTTCTTAATACTTTGGTTTCTGTCTCAAAAGGTTGGCAGCCAAAAATAATTGAGCAAGATCTGGGGCCTGGAGATCTATCCTTTAGACAGCACATCCTCCATTATAACGCCTGATCCTGTTAATTAACCTTCTTTACTTAAAGTAAACACTTTACTGGTATCTCTTTGGCAAATCCAAATTGTATGCTTAATTACTCATGTCCTTTGGGATCATTATTAAGTAAAACTTATGAACTGTTTATTTCTGGAATTGACTACATGTAATTGAAATTATATAATGTGAAACTATGGATAAGAATGTATAACATGTTGAACCTGATTACTCATTTATTCGTATTGTACTGAATAAAAGGAATTTTTACAAGGAATAAGGAACTAAATGAAGGCTATTTAGAACCAGTTTAGGTTTTTTCAGGAAAGTATATAACCATGAAGTTAACTTAGATTACTGAAATTAATATTCATCAGCATTTTGCCTTACATTTTATTTGTTGTTTCCTTAAATCTATATTTGAACGTGCACTTAGCATAGTGGTTATCAGTGTGTAAAGTGGGGCTGGAATGCCAAGTTCAAATTCTGGCCGAGGCCATTGCATTTACTTTCACAGAAATATGCTTGGAAAAATATGAATTCATCTCTTCCTCCAGTTAGGGGTTCATAACAAGGCAGACTGGGCTCTTGAGCGTCAGCTGATAACCAGTCTAAAGGAAGGACAATTCTGAATACAAAACCAGTTGGGTGTGGGGCTAGCAACCCCACCCTTTAAAAACCTACTTGTTATAGAAACCACAGCAGCAATATGTAGCATGGTGAGGCAGTGGCCATATACCTCACAGGGGCATCTACTAAACTTACTACTGCATCGAAATCTACATTTAGTGCAAATTCTTCTTGAAAGTAAATTTAAAATGATCTTGCTTGTTATACTTGGATTTGATGCAATATCATAGCAACAACATGAATTATTGCCATCAACATCCTATCAAGGTAGATAAGGTAGGTAGTACTTACCCTGACTAAAATTATATAGGTTATTTATCAAACATAAAATTGAAATTTGGGTGGTTAACAGTACAGAAAAAGAAATTAGTCAGCCAAGTTCAAATTCAAATCAAGACACTGTGTTCACTTTACATTGATATTCTTGGGAAAGGCATGAATCAATTTCTTTCCAATTCCTAGCAAAGCAGACTAGGTTGTTATCTAACTTTATTTAGCAATCATTTTAAGAAAACTCTGAATTCAAAACTATGGAGAAAGCAAAAAGAAACCAAGAATAGTAATGGCAATGTAAATTTATGGATATTATAAAAAGTAAAGGAAGCTTTGAAGAGTCACAATCACTTACATCATGAAGAAATATTGCACAAAGAGAAGATTAAATATAAAAATTGAAAGATTTTCAATTCATTGTAGATTCATAACTGAATGCACTAATTTTGTGTGTGTAAGGATTCAGAACCACCAAACAACATCCTCTCTAGAATCCAGGACATTCAAGACAAGTGTTGGAGGATCAGTTGCAGTGAATCGCTAGACCAAGCTCTGATGTAAGGAATGCACTTCCCACACTTCACAACACCTGTACATCCAATCAGATTCCTTCTATATTGGCTGCCACTAAAGGCTAAAGAGCCCCATTTGTCTTGTTAATGAATCTATAGCTGAGTCAATTCAATGTATAAATCAGTAAATGGTTATTACTTTCATCTTAAACAGTGTTGATTCTCCTGTACCTTTCAAATCCATTATACAATAATGTACGTCATGATGTCTTGTTGATGTACTGTAGACACAGCTACAAGTCACATTTAAGGGAGACATAATTTTGCCTTCACTATGGTCATCTTGTATTCACTATGAGAGTGTGGAATATGCGCATGTATTAAATATTATAAAAAAAAACCATAAATATCCTTTTAAATTTAGTAATGTTTTTTTTTATATATAAAAAACATAAGTGAGAATTTTCTCCACATGCATTAATACTACCTAAATTTATTTTGAAAATATTTTCCAATAGTGATAAGGCTTTTATTATATGCTTTACTATATGAACCAGTATGCTCTACATGGTTGTTATGCTCACAATGTTTCAGCCACTGCACCTTTTGGTTGTTTTCTGGATAAAACATGAATATAACAATCAAGATAAGTATGCTGGCCAAAGCATATAATAATGATGATTCCTCATCTCAAAAATTGTATGGCTTTTGTTGACAATTTTCTTTCTAAAAGTTGACTGCTGTCTTCTCCCAAGTCATTACTTATTGTATATGCCTGCTTGGAGTAGAGTTATATTATCTAAATAAGGACATCTTACTTAACTTTGGAAGCTTTGATTCAATTATATTTTGCTGCCTCAAAAATACTAAATATTAAAATTGTTGGGATAACAAAAAATGCCTTCCAAAAAAGCTAAGCAATTATTAAGAAACAGGAAAATTTCATTAGAAAAAAAAAAAAAAAAAAAAAAAAAAGAGTACTGAACTGACATGTAATATTGATCCTCCTATGTGGCAGTGAATGCTGAATCATCTCCTCATAGATGAAGAAGAGACTTGAGGCAAAAAATTGTGGAGAGCCATGATCACCCACATCCTGAAGAAGCACAGAATATAGAAGATTACAAATTAAATGTTATCCTTACCTTACTTTGAGCATAAAACTTATATTGATGAATGATGTGAAGCATTGAGAGAGAATCCTTCCCTCCAGACAAACAGAGAAGCACATGGTCACCATCTTTGATCATTTTATAGTTGGTAATTGCCTGAAACAAAAACAAATATAAGATGTGTTAGGGGGTGTTACTTATTTCCTCTTATAAAGGACGATATCTCAAAATACAATTGAGTTATGACCCTTGTCTGCTAGTTGGACCATAGCACTTCTGAATTCAACATAGTAATAAGCTGATATTTCAGGATTAAAATCTTCTACTCATGCTGATGTTCGCACCAGACTTCTTTCAAAACTGGAACAGGACAAAGACATTATGCTAAAAGCTTTCACCACTGAATGTAATAATTTATTAAGCATAAAAAGAGACCTTGCTGTTTCAAAAAAATAATGATTTATCAAAAAACTACACTGTGATGAAAAGAAACCTCCTTCAAAATGTTGGTATTGTTATAACTGGCATTATGCATGCTTTTGTTCATTCAAAAAACATAAGTGCAATATTTGTCACTGAAATTTCACCTTTTGCACCTTTTCATAAAGAAGGATTTTGTAATCCAAATTCACACAAAAATTCAACTGAAAAAATTAAAAAAACAAAACAGGAAAATGTCTGAAACAAACATAGTGTTTGTGACATTCAAAGTGGATTATGAATCCCACAGAAAATATATTTCTGTTTGTGTAAATAATAAACCAGTTCGTTTTCAGTTTGATACAGCATCAGACATGTTAATATTGCATGTGACTTAGGAATGAATTGAAAATTGAATGCCTGAAAAAGATCACATAGCAATGAGTGCATCTGGAAGTACAATCTGTTTAACTGGTGAGTTAACTTGTGATGTTTTCTTTTAAAATAGAACATTTTCTGGTGTGTGTTATGTTGCAGATAATTAGAAATTAAATTTACTTGGTCTTGACTGAATAGAACAACTTAAGCTTTTTGAAATTTCTCTCAAATCTGTGTTCAATACATTTAACCTCACATCGGTCTCTGATATTGGAAATCACTTTATGGACGAACTTAAAAATAAGTTTACTGATGTTTTTCAAGGTGGACTTGGGTGCTGTACAAAAATTAAAGCTACTCTGAAATTAAAACCAAATTCTAAGCCAGGTTTTAGGCAAAAAAAGACCAGTACCCTATGCGTTTCTGAAAAAGAACTGCAATGTCTTCAGCAAGAAGGTATAATAGAGCATGTTCATAACTCTGCATGGGTAACTCCTATTGTAGTTGTTAAAAAGGCAAATGTGCTAATTACTTGACCAGTTTGAATGATTTTTTGTATCCACTAAGGGCATTACCAGTCACTTGTATAATGATCTGTGAAGCCACAATGTTTAAAAAAAGTGATATGCCAGAAGTATGCACTGACAAAAGAATTCAGCCATTCTTTCAGTGTCACTCTTCATTTTCAGAAGTTGATGGCTGTCTTCTTTTTGCAGAACATGTGATTGTCCTATCTTCATTACATGAAAGAGTGATAAAGCAATTCCATTATGGTCATCAAAGTATTAGCTGCATGTAATCCAAGGACAAGAAGTTGGAGGAATTGGTAAGCACATGTTTTAATTGCTAACTGGCAGCAAAATCTCCCAAACTATTTATAGTTGTTGAAGGCTATCATGTTTTTGTTTTACAGACATAGCATCTACACCCATCAAAGCTGTCTTTCATGTAGATTGGTTAACCAAGTACAGCTGGATAACCAGTCTGCCCTGCTATTTAACCTAAAGCTGTGAGATGAGATGGATTCATGCCTTTCCCAAGAGTATTTGTGTGAAACTGAATGTAATGAATACAACCAGAATTTGAACTCTTCTTGCTGATTTCTCATTCTGAGCCATTAGCCATTGCATTAGCTGCCCAAGAAAAGTTAAATCACCAGGGAAATCTCCCCATGTTCTGTTGTATAGATAATGGATAAGAAAGTGTGACAATGAATTCCTTTGCTACTTACTGAGCTGCATTTGTAACCACTAATATTTTTTAATCACTAATTATATAATTTCTTTGATCAAAATAACTAATTCAACTATCATCAAACAAATAAAAATTATAATCCATATGTAATTATCAATTCTAAATTTATAGGTTAATTTTTCAGCAAATGTTCAATGTGTTTGAATTTCTATTCAAAGTTAACCGTTGACATTTTTTCTTTACATTTAAAAACATTTATTTAACTATCAAATGAATTGCAAAGAATCAACTATCTTTTTTATTTTTAAATTGAGCCAGAGTAGGTTTTCAAACTAGTAAATAAATAAGATAGTGTAAATAATTTAACCAATTTGATCTCACTTACCTTTACTGCAGGTGTGAATATTTCTTTTGGAGGTGAAAACCAAAAGCTACCATTTTTTGTCTTTTTTAATTCAGATTTCTTGGGTTTAGGTTTAAAAGGACACACAGCAGGCACCAAATTTGATGATACTATACTGACTTCTTTACCATCAGACTTATCATCATTTGTTGAAAGTTTTGTAATTTGTACCAAGATATTACTTTGTGATTTAGAACAACTGATGTCTTCTAATGGGTTGCTTTTAGGGTGTGAAGTATCATTTATTGTTGGCTGAGATGCTGTGAGAGTATCATTTGTTGTATCCTGTTGTGGGTGACTATCCAGACTACAAGTAGAAGAAATATAATCCACCTTTTCTTTGTATCTGGGTAGCAATCTCTGATCCCAGACAATTTTATTTCTTCTCACTTGAGAAGTTGATCTCAAAAGATAATTGTCAAAGCCACAATTGTAACTCTTGGGAGCAATATTTTCTGTGTTGCCAAATTCTTCTGTAGCACTTGTATTACTGGAAAAGGTCAGAACTTTTGACAATGGCTTATCTGATAAACTGGTCTGAAAGCCTTTTTCTAAGAAGTTCTTGATTGACTCTGAAAACTCTTTTGTCTTTTCTGCAGTATCAAAGCCCTTTGAAGAGCTGCAGTTACTATTTTTATTATTAATAAATGTATTGTTATTATGAACTTTATGACTTGTCTCCTGTGGGTATAACTCCACAGATGGAGTTTGAGAAATAAAAGATTCTTTATTTCTAAAAGATTTTGGTACAAATGGCAGAGATTCTGGAAGTAAATGGGGAGGTGAATTGCCAACTATGCAGTTCTGTGCTTCTGAAGGTAATAAAAACCATCTTAGATGTTGTGTGCCATCTGAAAATAACAATTCCTGATCAGGAAGAGGGTATTTCATCTGTGAAAGGAAAAAAAGTAATTATGGTGAAGAATTCATGTAGATAACAAAGAAATGAAAACTTTCACAATTATTTTTTATCTGGTTCTCTCACACTCAGTAACTCCTTGTCTTAGTGGCTTTATTGCCTTGCTTGGGATGAAATGGTTAAAAAATAAATTTTATTATTAGTTTTGCTCCATCTTATTGTTGTCATTTTATTTAGTAGTGTATATCAAGCCAGAGTATTGTGATAAAAAGCAATAAGATGGATTAAAGTAATTTCTGTTTGAATTTCTGGGATGAGGAGTTATTGTTATTTAACTGTGGACTATTGCTCTCATATTTGTTGTTATTACAACATGTTGGCTGTTAAAAGACCAAAATTCAACTAATGACTATTGTCATATAGGAAGAAAATGAGTAACTACCAATACCGAGGTTTGAGCATGACACTCTGAACTTATGAATATGTTTTCCACCAGGTGTATAAATAGCAGTGCCAGGCTACTGACTGCAGTGATTATTGACTATTGAGTGGAACTATCCAGTTGAATTAGTGTGAATTATTGTGTGTCAATGATTTGGGTTTTGATTTAGGATTTACCAGATGTTAAGCCGAGCCGCGCTACTAACAAGGTATTTAGTGAAATGGTTAATTATCTTTGGTTGACTTGTAGTTCTTTGTTCTTGTTAAGTATTTATTTGTGGTTGTAATGAAATACTGTTTTATTTAACATTGAAGTCTTTAGTTATACTTAATTATTAATGGCCACCGTACATCACAAAAACTCTATTTCAAATTATGAACTTATAAAACCACTCTCATATTTATGTATTAAGAGTAACATAGCCAAAAAGTTACTTTACTGTAATACTAAAAAATAAAAGTTAAAATAAAGAAAATAGAATTATAATAAAATTAATTAAAATGATGGATTAAAAATCTAAAATGCATTTGAAAGTTGAAAAGAAACTGTGTCTACAGAATAGTATTATGGTAAGGTAACTTTTGGGGATACTATGTATATATATATAAAAAAATAAATAACAAACCTTTTCAGCTTTTTTAAATAATTTCTTGGCTTTGTCAAGACAACTCTATAAAAAACAAATGTAGAAGAAATTAAATCAGTAAATTAATATCTTTGACAACAAAGCTGTAAAGATGACAGATTTTCATCCATGATTCCATTTAGTATCCATTTACTGGGAAAGCAGCTCAAAGAATTCTTCAATGTTTGTGAATTGAGTATAATTAAAAATTTTAAGTTAATTTAGTGACAAACATACAATAATTATTGTATCAAACATTAAATAAGTTTGAATTTAGAAAAAAAAAAATCGAATGTATCTATAACTTTGAATATCTCTCTCTCTCTCTCTCACTTATACGCACATTATATATATATATATATATATATATATATATATATCAGTAATACAAATATAAAATTGTTACTTAGCTGATTGATGTTATATTCATCACCCCAACTCCAAATTTTTGTAGACAAATCTATTTTTAATTGGTTTATTCATTAGGCAGTATCATCAATTGACTGCCAATTTTCTCATTTTAGTTATTTTTATATTAAGTGAAAAAATAATAAATTATGTACTTTTTATTGGTGTTAGGTTGATTTTTTTCTTCTTCTTCTTTCAGTGTATGTGTGTGTTTATGCATGTGTATATGCCTGTATGTGTGAATGTGCACATGCATAGAATGTTGTCATTATTTCTCCTATGTTCTTAATTTTATTAATAAAAGTTTGATTAATGGATTTTTATTAATCATTTTTGTTTACTTATGAGTGGATGTAGCTAAGTGAACAAAGTTTGTAAGACATGTACAACATTTGCAATGACAGTTTATGTCTGTAGAGATTCTATTTTTTCATTTTAAGCACTAGCATCCATAATCACAATCTTTATCTGAGGAGGAGTTGAACAGATCCTTGTTTCATTTCTTGTTTTATATATATATATAAAAATTGTGTATTTGAGCAGTTTTCCCTCTTTCATACAAGTTTTGTTCAAGACAACTGCAAGGCACTGCAATTAAGCTTTTTATTTAATTTTTCTTGATAACTAATAAAAAACTTAATTGCAGTGCCTTGTCAGTCATTTTTAACAAAACTTGATACTTTACTTAGCTTTTACTTGCAGTTTCATATACTTTTGCAATTTTTAGATTGTGCAATAGCCTATGAAACTGTAAGTCATGAATAAAATAAAAGATATGTATCTTTTTTATATTGTATATTGCTCTGTATTTTATATTTTGCATTGAGCACTGTGTTCTATAATGTTTGTCTTTGACAATTTTTTATTGTTATGTGTCACCATATAAGTCAACATTGCATTGTAATTGACAGTTTCATGCCTTAAGCCATTGTCAGACTATCAGATACCTCTATCCATGATATTGAACACTCTTCTTCATAAATATAGTGAATTTTTAAAGAATATATATAAACAGTTCAAAACAAAAGAAAATATGCTAGGTATAGGAAGTTTATTTCCATGAAAAAAGTCATTATTGGAAATTAATGAAAATCATGTTTAAGTTAAATTAGTTTTAATTATAAATAAAAACAGCTTCAGAGAATAAAAGTAGACAATTTATAAATCATTATTTTTTACCTGATAATCTTGGGGTAATGTTTCTTTTGAACATGTATTAACATTTGTCTTATATTGCATACATCCTGAAGAGTAAGATATGTTACCAAGCCACTTTCTATCTTTATAAACCTGCAAAATTAAAACAAATACACATAGATCTGTTTTTTTAAATAATGTACTCTGTCAAAGATATTTAAAAATTTGGATGTATTTTCTAATTTTTGAAGCTGCAAAATAAAATATTGCTTTTGGCATAAATATTAGTAGTTACAATTGGCTACATTACACAATTGCTTGTTTAAAAATGTTATACATGATTGAAATAAGTTTATTAAGGTCAACTGTACAATCATTATTTAAATGGAAAACTAACAATATTTCCAGGAGTAATTCTCTGCTCAGGTAACTTGACATGGAATATGTACAGAGGAATGTTTTACTAAGAGTTGGGTTATTACTTTTCTACAAAAAAAAGTGAATCCAAACATACTATCACTATGGTTAACCAGTTTTCACTGAGCTGAGCTAGCTCTAAGATCCTATCACATAAAATAAAAGCAAACTCCCAATTGTACAGATATATTTCTTTGCTAACTGATACATTTAAATTGTCCAGATGCTTATCCTCTTTAATCTCCACAACCTACCTTGCAAAATTACTGTCTCTCAACCATCTTTAGTCCTCAGAAATAGCTCACTATATGAAGCACTGGTTGGCTTTTCCCTATAATCAAGTTACCATTTCTGGGTTCTGTCAAGTCATAACTCCAAAATGTTTTGTCCTGACCATCATGAACTCTACCACAATGACCAACAACAACAATCAAGTCAAGATTATTCATAGAATTTATAATTTATTTATAAACAGTAACAATAAACATTTATCATAATTTTTTCTTCTTTTTTTTATCACCAATTATGCTACTATTATTATCCCTATTACTACATTGGGGACTTCAATAACTATAGCATAGGTGTCCTAAGTTCAACATATGTTCAGTTCCTGATTCAGCTCAGTTCAGTTTGATGTAACAACATCTGATGAAAATTAATGAACAGAGCATTCAAGCAGAAATCATGAATATTGATTGATTTATTTTTTTATGGCTTATCAACCCATTGTAGGTTATTTAAAGCTGAAAGATTTTGTAAGAATAATTTTGCGGGTTTATTGTAAACAAATATTGCATTAACAATTTTTTTGAGATAACAATTTTTCTAGATGAAAGTTCTACTATTTAACCCATAGCTGTAGGGAGAAGAGCTGTATTCATACCTTTCCCAAGGGTATTTGTGTATAAGTGAATGTAACAAACTTGACTGAAATTCAAACTTGACTCACCAATCCCTTTTTCCGATCCATTAAAATACCTGCACATCCAGAAACAATGAATAAAAAAATATGTTCTCAAAAAAGTAACTAATTTTTTTTAAATACAGTAATCAACTGGTTATTCATTTGAAATTTAAGTTTCCAATGACTCATGTGAAATATCTTATTTTTCTATAATTAACACGACCAGATATTCTCAATTTGTATTTTATTTTAGAAGAGTTTGACTTGGACCAACAACAAAGTTTTAGGAGTGCATGAATCTGATAGAGAGGAAACTGAAACTATGGCATATCTGTCTACAAATCTAGAGAGAAACTCACCTGAAGGTCTCTGTGTCTCCATTCTCCTGTTTCTTTATTAAACATATACTAAATGAAAATAAAATAAATTATCAAATATTAGAAACCAACCTGATAAAATATAGTCAGAATTGAATAGGCTAGAAATGATGCCTGTTACTTCTCTTATAATATGCACAATTAAAATTTATTTCCATTATTCATTGCTTACAATTATTTACTTTAATATTATAGTTTATTATCAGTTATTCAGACATCTACTCTCATTCTTTGTTATGAATAAACAAGATTTTTCACTCAGTATAAAGTATCATTTATACTTTTAAGATTCATTTATCTCAAGAATTGTTTAGATTACTGAAGTCACTTTTTACATTGTTATTATCACAACATTTTGGCCAATCTATTCTTCAGTCCTTTTCAAGAGTACAGCTCATAAAGAAAGAGCAGAGACTCTTTTTCCAGAATGATTTTAATAATGACTTCATAAAATTATAAAAGACATCTTGTTCTTAATGTTGGGCTTAAGCATTTCCTGTTATTTTCATTGGCTGAAAAATACCACACATCTGTATATTTTCTGCATTAATAAAGCTTACTATGCATCTTTATTATTGTTGGCATTTCTATTTTTGCTGTTTTTTATTTTGTTTTAATAACGTCGGATATCATATTTAATATTACATTTATTTATATATTTCATATTAATTAAGATTTACCAGTACAATTACTAATTTAAAATATAAAATTAATCTTATTTATAATAGTATTTATAATTTACTGGGGATGCAAATGTCATAAATGCTTATGGAAATCAGGATCAAGAAAAATCATGTTAAAATTTTGGCCAACACCATTTATATCCATTTTGTACCAACACCTGCAAGGAATCCTTTCCCCGCTGCAATCTGTCTATAACTTCAAATGTGGGAACTGTTTTTATTCTTACAATGTTCAGTTGAACTGATCAGTATATAACCAAAATAAAAAAAAAACAATTTCCATATAATGAATGTATTAGTTGAAATGCTGTAACAACAAAAGCAACACAAAAAATGACTTCAGTTATCAAAAGCAAGTATTGGTATGATAAAAATCTATTGCATTCAACAAAGCCTAAATGGAAATGTTTTGGAGAAATAGAAAAATTTGAATTAAACTACTAAGCCAAGAAAATACATTATGGTTACTTCAAAGTAGGATACCTGTGGTAGCAGTAGCCATCCATATTCAGCAACAAGTTGTAGTGCTTCAAGAATAAAGTTCAAACATTCTTCATTTATAAAAAATGGTAGATTAAACCTAGTGAAGCCAGGTCTGAGAAAAAAAAAATACAACTAATTAAAATCATTTGAATTTATACCTATGCTCCCATAGGTATAAATTCAAATGATTTTAATACATTAAATAATTAAAGATTTGTTACATCAATATGAAACAAATATTAAGAAATTTTATATATTCGTTTATTACATCAAATATGGTAATCAAGGTAATCTGTTCATTATTATATATTAATCTATTCAAAGTTGTGTATTCATCCTGGTTGTTACCACCACAAAATTTTGACTATCGTACACTCTGGCCCTCTCAGGCATCTATAGTCTTCAGTAACCTTCAGGGAATTTCAAAACTGACCCCTTTATTCATATTACAAGAGTAGATTCCCAGAAAGTAGGAAATATGATAGACAACTGAATGCTTAGAATACAAAAGCCAAAAGCTTGTGACTATAACACCCAAGATGAGAATACTAGGCTGAATAGATTGATACATAATGAGAATTCTTCATCTTGGAAAGTGAAACAAGTTTTTTTTTCAATAAAAACATTGTAAGCCAAGATCCAAGTAGATATTTAAGTTAGATGCAAAGCTATAGTTATAGAGTACCTAGTGTGAATCAAATTTACTTATTAGTCTTATTCAACATTACACACACACACATATATATATATATGTATATATATATATATATATAACAAATACCATGGTATCCCCACCACCAATGTTACCAAATAAGAAAAACTGGCCACCAGGAAACAAAATAGCTTTTAATTTTCTTTTTTGGAATCTCAAAACCATCAATGCATTGTAATAATCAAATGAACTTCCATCAACAGTTGTTGCATCTTTATCAATATTCAGATTGACTGAGAGTCAGCAACCAGTGGCACACCAAACAATTTCCAATGGCACACAGCTGCAAATGACATCATGAAGTCCGAACCAATAACTACTACAACGCAAAGAAGATATTTAGCTGTTTCAATTTTAATATATACTTAAGTATATATACTATATATTACTATATAAAATATATTGTAGAACAGGTATATTGACCTTGACTTGTATAAAAATATGTATGCTGTTGGCACACTGAATGATTTTAGAACCCTAAGTTGGCATATAGTTAGCAAAAGGTTGCCAACTCCCTGAGATAGACCATACCTCATGCTACCAAATAATTAGCAATTTAGAGAATTCAATAGCCAATACTACAATTCCTCATTTATTGATCAATACATCCTCATTATTGATCCCTTCACATTCAATTCATTTGTATGTTTTATCCTTATTTCTGCATAGTTGCAGCTTCTGATGAGACATAAAGCCTAGTCATTATTGGACAAAATAAAAATATAGCTGTGGTTCTATATATGTCATAAAATTATAATGTCTTCTGTTCTGGGCTGCTTCAAGGTCCCGAAAACAATACTTGTGCTATTCATCCATCACTGTACCTTTATCAATATTAAAATCTGAAGAACCCATGCTATTATATATAGGTTATATTGAATTAATTATTATCAACACCTTGGAGGCAATTTACCATAAGTTTTGTGGTACAACCTATGGCACAGCTCAGTTCACTATCATTTGCAATTATGCCTGAACAAATGTGTGTTTGTAATTGTTGCTTAAACAATTACTACACATGATCTTCATATGAACCATTCAAATTATTTTACATTTTCCTCTTGATTATTTTTTAACAAATCAATAAATTCATAAATAGTATCGTATTACACTACTCAGCTGTGATGTTGTTAAAATTGAAATCTTTTGCTAGAGATTTTAGTTCAATTAGAAACTGGTCAACTGTTTCTCTGGGCCACTGTTCACATATTGCTAAAAAAAAAAAAAAATGCTGAGAAAAATTATATTCTTTATTTTAATTGATATTGTCTTTAGAGTTTCTAAAACTTTATCATGTCACATTCTGTAATGCATTTCTGATGAGAAAAATTTGTTTAGTTCAGATCCTACAAGCAAAGATTCTATGAAATTGTTGAAACTCCTCAACCAAATCTATATTTTTGCAACTTCAGAGGAGTTTAGATCTGTATCAAATTGTTCAGGTCTCAAACTTCTCCATATTACTTAAAGTAGTTTCTTTGCTTGCAGTGCATTACCATAGATTTTGTGGTACAAAGAAACTACAATACTGTTCAGTTCTCTGCTATTTGTAACCATGTTTACATTATATTTATAATTACTGCTTAAGATTAATTATTTAGATTTATTGCTTAAGAAACAACTATTATGATAACTACTGCACAGGATGTTCATATAAACCATTCAAATTATTTCACTACAATTTCCCAGGTTCAATCTTTAGCAAGCACTGTTTTTTCTCAATTCAATTTCCTGAATATATTATTCACAGATACTTTCATAATATTCAATATTTAAATTTTACATCAGAAATTATAGAAATACTTTCTAAATGAAAAAGTAATAAATTAATGGCTGTTATGGAAATAGATAAATGACTTATTGTAAGTGTTGATGTGATCAAAATTAAGTAATAAATAAATAAATTTGCAATGTCAGACTTGTTATATACTTACCTTAAAATTTCCCTTTCTGAATATTCTCTGTAACGTCTTAAGTGAACTCTGTCAAGTCGACTGAAATAAAAGTACAATAATAAAGTGTACTTGAAATAAAGATTTTTTTTTTATATAACAAAAGGATAATAATAATAATACTATTTAAAGGACAAAAAAACCAAGAAACCCTTTACCTGTCTTCTATGAGGACTTTCTCATATTCCTCAGCCACTGCTTCTGATATTCCTAAAAGTTCCTAAGAAAAAAAAAAATCTTTGAGATTTATTTCAATCCAAGTAATTTTTGGTGGTGGTAGTGGTGGGGGTGCTTAACATTTTCTGAATTTATCTATACATTAAATACATACATATTCTGAGTATGGATAGAATGACAATCATACATCAACAATTGTGCATTTGTTAAATAGAGAATTAGAATATCTTTCAAATATTACATGTTTAATAATTTTTATATTTTATTAAATAGATAAAAGCAAATACTAAATTTAAATCATGATGATTATTTTGTTTTATACTACAAAATAATTTACAAAAATAAATAATTTTTATTCACTTTTTTTTTTTAACATAAATCAATGTTATCATAGCTGCTTGATGAAGATGAAAGTATAAGTTTTGTCTGAAAATTATCCAGTCATATTCTTAATATCTCAAGAACCAGTTGCACAGTCTTCATGTGATTTGGCAACCAATGAGGAAATTTTACTGCATATGCATGCACAGACACCCTCTTGTGGAGTAACACTATCAGTGATCTCATGAAATATGTGATTGTTGTATTCACAACAAATTTGCATCACAAAAACTATTCAAAAAACATTGAAGGATAATTCAATTAGTACAGCCCAGATAAAAACTTGGTAGCAATATTCCAAATTTGGCTAGAATTCTACTGAAAACAATCTATTTTTGGAAGACCTGTGAGAAGCAGAAGACTGAAAAATGTTGAATGCATGTGAGCTGCAATCAAATGCGTGATAAACATTATGAGAATTAAAGGATAATCTGTGGAAGATGATTCACGAACTATCTGGAATATATCCAGCATTTTGAATATTTTAGCTTCCCTTCCTTTACATGTTGTGCAGGGTTTTTGGCAAAACATTGCATCCTCCACACCTGTATGCCCTGTCCTGCTCCATCCCTCTTAGTGTCCAAATATAGCTCTCTGTAACTGTAATTTTAGCTCATGGACAAGAATAAGGAGAATATAACAAAGCAGGTGATGATAATTCTGAAAGACAACATTGGCTACTGTTTTGAAGAGATGAAGACGGTGCTATTGATCCAGGTAGGCTACTGTTTCATTAATATTAAATGGCTACATCGTTTCCAGACAGATTTTGTATATGAAGAAGACAGTAAAACTTTTAACCAATTTCTTAAAAAAAAAGGAGTTAATTTCTTTCAATAAGATGTTCCATTTATTCTAACTGTAAAATTTCATGAAAATGATCAGGTTGTCTTAGAATTTTAGAAAGAATAAATTTCTAATATATTAAGGAATCATTTTCTATCCACTTTGATTATATTACAAAATATGTTAATGAAAATATTGTCTGGTTACTGAATGTGCTAATAAAAGACTGATTTTGATAAATTGTTCATTTAATATTTGAAACAGTTTTTGGTTCCTCTTTTGAACCTCAACAATAATTTGTTTATAAACTTTAATGTTCTCTTTCCTTTAAGGAACTGACTAGAAGAGTAAAATTTGACTAAACCCATAACCATTAGTACTCACTTCAGCATATGGACCTGCACAGGCACATCCACCTCTTGACTGTATTCCAAAGACATCATTCAAAATGGCAGTAACAAAATTGTGATGAAGGAAACGTCCGGTAATGGGATGGTAGATGAGAAAGGAAAATATTGGTAAAGATGGAGGAGTTTGATGGCCAAGAAGCACTAAATTTTTGCATTTCTTCCAACAGTCATATGCTATTCTGTATATAGAAAGAAAAATTTGAACAAATATTTTTCATTAAAATTATTTTATTACAGTAATTTGATTTGATTGATTGATTGATTTATTTTTTATGGCTTATTAACTTTTTGCAGGATATTTAAAGACAGAAAATATTTTTAGCTTGTAAGAATTTTTGAGAGAAAATAATGAATTACTGATATAAATCCTACTAATTAATCCATAACTGGGAGGAGAATAGGTGGGTTCATACCTTTCCCAAGGGTTCTGTGCAAGTGAATATAACAATTATGACTGAAATTGAAACTCAGCTCTCTGATTCCCAGTTCTGAGCCATTAACCATCTCCACATACACCTGGTATTTCCAAATGATTAACCATCTAGGTACTGACCAGGCTTAACATTGCTTAACTTCAGTAATTGTATGAGAACTGGTGTTTCATTGTGATATAGCCATAAGCCTTGATTACATTAAAATAATAATGCTCTGAAGTCCTTGAGTTCAATTAAAATACATTAAACTATTAATCAACTGAAAATTATCATGTATCAGAAATCAAACAGCCTTTGAATTTATTTCCTAGTGAGTATTTTTTAACTTCTTCTTCAAGGACAAATTTGAAATTTAAGGCCAGAGAACATACAAATGTCTCTTGGGAATTTTACTAATAACTAGTTCCAAAAGGACCCTGTCCTAGAATTTATTTGTTATCATATGGTTGTTTCTAAACTAAGAAGATCTAATGAGAAAAAACAAAGAATTTAACAAGAATTTATAAGGAAGAACTTCAATTTCCAACATGAAATTAATTAATTTTTATCATAAGTTAGAAAAAGGAAATACTACTCTTGTTCTATATTACTTGTTAAGGTTTGAAGACATTATGCAAATGTAACAACTTATAAGACAGAGAATAATTTTATTATCTTTGATTTGTATAGCACTTAAAATTATATTCTATTATATTAAAAGCTTTAAAATGAGAGGGTGTTTGTCATGATGTTAATTGACTAGGTTTGCAAGCTACAGAAGCATATTGTGATATGTAACAAAAGACTAGACTGAGATTTATATGTTCTTTATTATTTTATTTATTTTTTTTTCTTTTACTTTGGGTGTACAGAAAATAAACCTTGGTATTAAAACCATTACTGAAGAGATATGAAGACACATGTAATTATTTAAATAATCTACCATGCAGTTTTTACAAAGGAGAGGGATAAATGGAAGCTGCACAAATTCAATAGGAAAATCAAAGAGTCCAGACAAACTTGTCAAGAAATAATTAAAAAAAAATCTTTTATAGAAAACTTACCTGCACATTTCTGTATCTTTCTCCGAAATTAGATCAGTGCCAATTGCCTGTTTCAGCTGTATCACAAGTCCAGCACGAATGGAGCCAATGATATCTGGGGTGCCACCCTCTTCTCTCATTTCAGGTTCTTGCAGGTAACGATGTCCTTCTCGACGGACCTGTGTGCATAATTAGATAATTTTATCAAGTTAATATAAACTGATTCATAAGTTTTCCGGTTTAAAACATTTGGTATTATAACCCACAATCCTGCCTTTATCTCACCAATGACTTTCACTTGTGATCATCTCAATTTGTTTTTTAATCGCCCCCCCCCGCAAGTTTTAATTCCCTTTCCTTTCTTCACTCACTATTGTCCATACAGACAATAGCCTAATAGATTAAAGCATTTGTTTGTGAATTCAGTGATATAGTATTTGTGAGTTCATTCTTTTGGCTGGGCAGTGCATACTTGGACAGTGAAAATGGAGCGAGCAATAACTGATCAGTAGTAAAACTAAGAACAAGACAAGATATTCGTAGACATGGGCAGTGGGACAAAAATAACCTACTTCAATAGATTAAATAACAATTTCAATTCAAAATTCCTTGTAGGTTATCTGAATTGATATACACCTGATGAAGGCTGAAGGGCACAACAGTGGAAACATAATGATAATAATGTGAAGACCATAGTCCACATTTAGACAATTAGTCAGAGAGTGATTGAAAATTAGTTGAGATTTGGGTTTTCATGTTATTTCTTTCACTACTTAAGAAACTTTTGTTCAAGGTATAGTGAATATGGCTTCAGTCTTTTAATAATGGAGAGATGGCTTAGAAATACCTGGCTATGTCACCCACTGTAAATGTTCAATCAATTTTTTAAAACTTGTAGAGCTATGTAACAACCTCCTCCTCAAGAAGTAGATGATAACTGGCTTGATCCATGAAACTATTCTGGTCATATAATTTTACACAGAATGCATATTTTAAAACTTGCATTTTTCTGGGTTCTCTGCAGATTTTCTATAGTTTAAAATGTCTACTTCAGAGATATTTACACCAACATAATTCCAAACAAGGTAATGAACAGGACAGCTAAATTAAAAGTTGACATCCATTTTGTTTTACCTAAATATTGATTAGAAAATACTATTTTTCTGACATTCTAATTTTAAGAGTATCATTTTAAAATGTCAGTTGACAAACATCCTCTTTGCCATAATTCCTATTATTTAAAATATCAGTTTTAATTTTTCACCTTTTTATACATGAAACTTTATTTGTGCATAAACATTTCTCTGGCTTAAATATATAAACAGCACAAACGTTTTTCCATTAGTGGTTTGTAAAAGTTCAAGCTAACAATCTAGAGATGGTTCCTACTGTACCACATTACTCATTAATTCTACTTTTAATAAGTTTTTATGAACTTTCAAGTCTTTAGCATTATTTCAAAGATATAATTATGTTGCAGAGGTTTTAACAGAATTGTTTAAAATTTTTACCTTAAATTATAAATAACTGGCAAGTTAATTCAACTTGTAATACATAATATATCTAGGTTCATAAAGTATCTCTGTTCTTTATATCTAAAAATAGAAGAAACAAATATAGTAGTTCTAAATGCATGTAAAATAGTTTTTCTTAAAATACTTACAAAGAAAATTGTTCCTCCACCACAACCTTCTGGTGTTGGGTTTCTAAACAAAGATTTCTTAGCAATTAATACACCTAAAAAGACAGTTACAGAAATGAAAAAGGTATATTATTGACTGTTGACACTGTTTTTTCTTCATTTACTGTAACAAAACAAAATCATTTGTAATGCATTTACATTATGCATATAACTATTCTGTGATAAAGGTTACTTAAACAGCTAATTGGAAAATCATGAATAAAATGACAAACTCTAACCTGGTGTGGAAATGCCTCCAATGAACTTGTGAGGAGAGAAATACACAGCATCTTTGTAAACATAACATTGATCATGACTGGAAAAAGAAAAGAATACTTTTGAATATAAAAATGAATATCAGCATGTGTGTAGCAAGATATTTTTTAATAAATGACTTATATACTCTAAAATCCAATTCTTGGTCCGAACTATCCAGAGATTTAGTCTTTTTTACAATTAGGATAATCAAAATTATTTAAAAAAATTAAGAACATTGATGCTTAAATACAATATTATTGATTGCATTAACATCTATCAACAATTCTATTGCTCATTTTCTATTTTTGTTCAGAGTTTAGTCATATTAGAAAAATCAAAAGTACTGCATACATTAAGAAATATTCAAACTTTTGTTTTTAGTGTAATGAAAAGATGCCTCATTAAAACATGCTACTTGACTATTTCTATTATGACATCCTTACTCACACATACAAATATATAATGTGTATTCCAAAATAATAGCACATGTTAAATGAACAATAAATAGAAAATTATCTAATGAGATAAATGTGCCAGATTTTAACCTTCTTATTTCTTTCTCATATTCATTAAAAGCATTAACATGACAATTACCAATCTGAGATAGTAAATGAAAAGATATGCTGTACTTGCAGCACTAACCAACAACTACAACAACTTGGAAATAGCCAGCTTCCTGAAAGTGGTTTGGATCATCATATTAAAGGCCAGGAATAAACTACAGGCATCTGGTAGAGACATGTCATCCATAGCCAAAAGAAAGAAACATTCTAAGTAGTCAGATGTCCTAGGGGCATCCAACTTTATTCAGTAGGGTCAACCTAGCAAGTTGATGAGAGCCAGAAACTCAAAGTAGCAGAGTCCACTATCAGACATGCGGTGAATGAAACATCATGAACCAGTCCCACATGATAAGGAGAGGTAATTCACAATCACATAAAACCTAGGAAAATCATGTGATCTGATTGATGCACTTGCTGAACAAGTTCAAAAACTGGATAGCCAAAAATGGAGAGGTCCAAGTATTGTCTTTGGTCAAAATAGTCCAGACATTTTCATTACAAATGGAAGAATACTTGTGAGAGCATATGTGAAGATTATGAAAAGTTGAACAATATTGTTAGTTACAATCACAATGTAAGTTTTTATTGCATTCATGCAAAAGTTATTAGTCAAGCTGGCAAAACAAGAAGCAGAAGTAGACATTTCAAAAACATTCAAATAATAAATTCAATGAATCTGAAAGATGGAGAAAAGTCTATAGATGTAGATCAAGTCAGTTATTTTGATGTGAATGAACCAATCACTGAATCTAAAGACAAAAATTATGATATAGTGATATATGTTGTTCAATTTGATGATGCTAAAATAAAAGGACTTGACAATTGGAAATAAAATGTTTCTACCAAATTAGAAAATACTAATCAGACATACTGAGTCTGTAGCTTAAAATCTACACCTAATGGAATCATAACAAAAGTAAGATTGAGGAAAAACTGGATCTTATTTATTTTTTAATTCTCTTTCACACGTACACACGGGGGAGGTGGGGAGAGACTATGTGGACATAGGAATCAACACTGCATGCAGTTGATTCCTATATCCACACTGTCTATATAAATGCTCTACTTCTGATACTGAGCACTCTTCTCCTATAAATATAGCAAATTTTAAAAAGTATAAGTGAAGAATTAGCTAATCTGCTTTTACAAATCTGTCCTGTTTTTTATTACAATAGAAAGAAGGATTTTACTGAACAAGACTGTTTAATACAACAGATTTTGGAGTTATAAATAATGAAAACTAATACAGGAAGTAACTAAAAAATATACAATAGAAAATTGTTGTTACAAAAGCATTCTGTAAAACAGAACTTTATAAAGCAGTTGATTATACTCAAAGCAAGAAATGTTTGTTATGGCGTACTGTAGCCTTTATAAATTTCTAATGGGCCTAAAACATAAGCATAACTTTGGCCAATAGAATCAATTCCAAAATTTACCTGTCAATAATAGGATTCATGTCAATGTTAACATAAGGTGCAGCTGTGGCATAATCCCAAAATGCCAATGCACCATATTTATGCAGGCAAATTGTAACTGCATTAACATCTGTAAGGATTCCTGTTATGTTTGAGGCTGCGGTGAAGCAACCAATCATCTGTTTACATTTACCTGCCCACAACTGAAAATAAAAATAAATAAATAAAATAAAAGCAATGATATTTAATTCTTTTTCTAACTTATTGGGCATATTTTTGCTTAAATGATTAAAAACAATGAATACTACAGATTTGAATAATGTCAGCATGTTACATGTTATAATAATGATAGACACATAGTTGTGTTCAGTACTGTCATTTCTTCTCATCACACTATTATTAAGTAGAGATGATAAAATACTGTAAGCGTTCTGAAAGCAAAGGAAATGTTTGTCACAGATTAATTCCACAACGCAAAGAACAAATTACTGTAAGTTCAGACTCAAATATCAGGGACAGAAAGAAATGCTGAAAACTCGATTCACAGGTACTATCTCACAAATCCCAATGCACGTAACCAGTCAGAAAAATAACTCACTCGTTGACGAACATGGTAGCCAAAATACATTAGTTTTTTCCTCTCGATTCAAGAACACTGCTTTTATCAGCCGAGGAGTTTTTTCATTCATCGACAACTGGGGGAGGATGCCAAGTATTTTGCATAACAAAATACTTTTATAGAGACTCCTGCGATGGACTTGTTTTTAATCTAAATATTCTGTCTTCAGCATGTCATGTGGAATACGTGCCTTTTTTTTTTTGGGTACGTAATTTTCTTTTCTGTCGTAGGATACATGTGACGCGCTGTTGCTTGGTTTGACAAGGTAAGTCGCCATTTTCTTTGCTATAAATACTTTCCAGTTGGTATCCCAACCCCGTTTTACATGTTATTTTCTTTATCCTCTTTTTTTTCTTTTCTCAGTCTTTGTACTATTCTTTATTCTATAAAATTTAAATACAAAATTTAAAAAAGAAAGAGAAAAAACATACTGGTATTTTTAGCACAAATTAAAAATACCAGAATATATCCTATCTTCAAGCTTCTTTACTCAGTATTCAACTATATGTCAAATCTTTATATATATATATTATATATATATATATATATATATATATATATAAATTGGGATCAAATATATTTCAAATATGGATGTTAAAGAACAAATATAACATAAATCTAACGTGTTTCACTTTAATTAAAACTTCAACAGAGGATGAAATATGAAGAAGAATAAAGAGAACAAACATTCTGGTATTTTTAATGCAAAAATTAAAAATAGTAGAATCTTAAATTGCCCTACATTTTCACTTTTTGAAAATTGTATTGTGCACTCTCTTAATTGTTCCTTTTCACAAATATCACTTTTTTTTATAGATTGAATTTATAAACTATATATATATATATATATATATATATATATATATATATATATATATATATATATATATATATATAAATAAATTAAAGCATGTTTCATTAAATAACAAACATATATCTATTTATTTTTTAATGATCTGTTCTAGTTTGCTAATTATCTTCTTGAAATTCATCAAGGAAGGTGCTGTAGTTCTTGTTAATCCAAGTACTTACAATCTCCTCTGAGATCATCCTCAGGGGTGAATTGCAAAAATAAAATTAAAATTTACAATTAAAATTTACAATCATCAAGTTTGTCTTTGTAATTCACCCCAGAGGATGATCTCAGAGGAGATCAAAAGTAATTAGGTTAACAAGAACTACAGTGCCAGCCTTGATGAATTTCAACTTAACACCAAGAGAACGAGAATGGATTATATGAATTATTGTAAAAATAGACATAATCTTATATATAAAGTACAGTGTATGTGTGTGTGTGTGTGTGTCCAAGCAACTCCTCCACTCACATTGGTCTGATTTCAATGATTCATAGCTAGTTTGAAAGCCCAAGAAAAGTTAGACACAGGGAACAATTTTCGTTGAGTTTTAATTCAGGGTTGCCACATTATGCAAGGTTAAAAATATATATTAATACATTATACTAGCCATTATTGTTGCTTTCATGGTTCAAAGGGAGTAATTCTCATTTTCCTTTTGTGTCCAAAATTGCAGTGCACATTTTATTATAAACTAGCTTTAAGCTAGCTCCTGTAAAGGACTTTTGGTTTGGCTATCATCACAATAGCTAGGAAGGAGTAGATGTGATAGGTATCAATAAACTACAGAAGAACTCAAAATTGATTGCTGCATTTAAGTATTGAATTAATGTTTAAGCCTACCTTTTAAAAGTTCAATGATAATTCTTCTGCTGCCACTTAATTTAAAGACAATTTGATGTACATAGATCCTTATTTTCTGTACAAACAATTACTTTTATTTCATGGGTGACAGAACAGAGGACAATTTATAAGATAAAATTAATATAGAGTAAAGATGGGAAAATAGAAATTAGATTTAGTTATACATTCAACATTTGAAGAGTTAGAGAAACATAATAGCTAATTAAGTAAAACCTATATTATGGAATCTATACGAAAAAATGTGAAATTGGAGCTTAATTATCCCATGAATTTTGAGATTAAAAAACCCCAGCTCTACTTTATAGTAGGAATTTACTAAAGACGGAGTCAGGTTATGACATAAGGTTGGTTTAATGTGGGGAACCCGAGCACATACACACGGGTGAAGGAGAAAAATTCCCCAAGACTCTGCAACCACTGGTTGCAAGAGCTTCAGTGTGAGCACTGATCCCTCTCTCTGGTTTAATGAGAGGGTGCAGTCTCAGCCATGTGCTCCCTAGGGCTGGGCACTTCCCAGTGTGATTTTTCACAGTTGCACCTCTGTCCTCTGATGAAGCCACAGCTGAGTCGTACTCTGCCTGAAGACAGCGACACAACTGAGAGATGATAAATAAACGTGTGAACTCTACTTTATAGTAATTTGGTATTTACTCAACAACTCCCCACCACCACAAAGTCATGTTGTGACACAAGGTTGGTTTAATGTGGGCAGCCCGAGCATATACACCCGGGCTAGAAACAAAAATTCCCCGAGCACACACAACTGTCGGTTGTGCTGGCATCAGTGTGAGCAGTGATCAATCTCTCTGGTGCAATGAGAGGGATGGCCTTGGGCAGCTGTTCCCCTGGGTTGGGCACCTCTCAGTATAATTTTTCCTCAGTTGCGACTCTCCTTCGACAGAGCCGCTCCTGAGTGCACTCTGCCCAAAGACAGAGACGGAACTGAAAGATAATAAATAAACATGTTCAAACTACTTTATCATAATTTATATTTACTCACCCCCATGAGGTCAGGTTGTGACACAAGGTCAGTTTAATGTAGGGAGCCCGAGTGTGTACACCTGGGCTAGTAACAAAAATTGCCCGCAGTCCTCGCAACCATCGATTGTGCTGGTCTCTGTGCGAGCACTGATCCCTCTCACTGGTGCAATGAGAAGGTGATGCCTTGGACAGTTGTTCCCCAGGGCTGGGCACCTCTCAGTCGCAACTGAGGAAAATTAAACTATCCTTTGATGGAGCTGCCCCTGAGCACACTCTGCCCAAAGACAGAGACACAACTAAGAGCTGATAAATAATGTGTTACAAACTACTTGAGAGAGCAATTGATTTACTTGACCCTCCCACTGAGTCACAAGGTCAGTTTTTAACGTGGGGACCCAAGTTTTTTCACTTGGGCCGCTAGTCTTAGCTTGTCCAAGCTGGTCTTAGTCGGTCCTAAATTGGTCAGAGTTGGTTCAAGCTAGTCTTAGCCGTGATACCACAAGCACAGGGACAGATCCCTGTGCCCAGTAAGTATCAGAGTGGGTAAAACACTCGAGATAGTGGTTTACACAGTATTAACTCCTTCCCCCTACTTGGACGAGATGTGACACAAGGTCTTTTTTTAGGTGGGGACCCAGGCGCGTACGCCCAGGACAAGGACAAAAATTTCCCTCAGTCACCGCAACCACCGGTTTTTGATGACCTGATAGTAATTTAAAACCAATTCCCTCTGGTGCAATGGGAGGACTTCTGACCTTTGCGGGTATAGCTGTTCCTCAGGGCTGGGCACCCCACCCCAAAGATAGTGGTTTACAGAAGTGTTTACTCATTCCCCACGAGAATGAAGGATGTGACACAAGGTCGGATTAATGTAAATATTACCCGAGCGCTTTTTACTCCGGGCAGGAACAAAAATTCCCCTCAGCCTCTGCAACCGTCAGTTGTGCTGGCCTTGGTGTGAGCACTGATCCCTCCCTCTTTTGCAATGGGAGGGCGCGGCCTCGGGCAGCTGTTCCCCAGGGCTGGGCATCTCTTCAGTATAATTTTCCTCAGTTGCTCCTCTGTCCTTTGACAGAGAAGCCCCTGAGCGCACTCTGTCCAAGGACATAGACGCAACTGAGAGATGATAAATAATGCAAAATTTACGCACTAAAGCTCAATATTTGTATTATATATTATCTACTTCTAGGCAATATCACGCTTCAGGTTTAACTAATTTACATATTGATTTAAAAAAAATTTATTTCATTAATTAACTGTCCTTTATTATTGTTCTTTTATTCGAGGATTATTTTGATTTTCATATCAAAAATAGTTCTGTTTAGGAATATCATCTTATATAGTGCAGAAAAGTGTTTTAAATTTGCATTTTACATGGCCTTCAACAAGTTGGCATCTATTTGTAAAACTTTCCTTAACTATAACAAGCCAATTTCTGAATGAAATGTTCACTTATAATTTTTGTTTCAAAGATTTCAAGTAGAGAATATATCTTACTTTGTGAAGCGATAGCAAACAGGCAAAGCCTGCTAGTATGTCTATATTATTTAATGAACCATGCTTGAATGAATGTATGCTGCCCATATGTGTGTCTGTGTGTATGTATGTATGGAGTTCTAATTTCAATTTTGGCCTGGCAAATGATTACAAAGGAAGTAATCTTACCTGAAGTTGACTTTCTAAGTGGGAAATGTCAACCAAACCATTTGAAGTTTCTCTGATTGAAATAATCTGGCAATAAAAAAGCAAGTAGAGAATTTACAATTTACCAAACTTGTTTCAATATGACAGAATGTGATGAATGTTAACTTTGAGTATAGGTAGATGTAATTGTATAAAAAGCTCTAAACTGAATATACAGGATAAATTATTGATTTTAATAAGGTGGATTGGAAGGTGATTTGTTTGAATTAGATCAAAGTGAATTAATTCTATTTATTTTTTAAAAATAAAATTTAAATATGTCAAGTAAAATATATCGAAAATTTTAATTACAGGCATTACTATAATAGTAATTTCTACTTATGGTAACTTTTATAAAAGCTGCTATATTTTGCATGAATATTATGACAACTGATAAAAACTAGCATTCTATTATTCCTACAATTTTCAATTTTTTTTCATTATAAACATGAAGTTTGACTTTGAGATGTATTTTTTGTGACATGAAAAATTTCAAGTTTATTATTAAAAAGAATACCAATATTCAAATTTTACATTCAAATAACATACCTCAGCACCAATTTCTCTCCATGGTAATAGATTTGAATGGTGTTCAAATGGACCAGCAAAAATAATCTTAAAAAAGAACAATTTACAAATTAGTAAAAGAAAAAATATAAATGTCCATTTGTGTCAATTTTCAGGAGAAAAATAACCAGAAGGAAGCAATTTATATAGATAGCTGAAAGAACAATATAGAAGAATGGATCAGAATTCTAATAACAAACAATATTTTTCAACCTATTAATACATACAATATTAACAAATATCAGATTTTAGTCATTAAATTTTGTTAATTTTTTGCCACAATTATTTTTGATACTGTAGATGACAAATATTTATAATGACAAAAAGAAAGGGGGACAGGTTTTGATCAGGAGGCAAAGAGTGAGGTAAAAGGCCCAGGTGAAATTTCAAGGATGACGGAGGAATTGCCTGCACCCCTCAGGCAGTGATGGTGAGAGGCACCTACATGAGATGGAAAGAGTTGTGCAGATCAATATTCTGCCACCACCACCCTTTGGGAAAGGGATCTCCCCAAATTTGGTCAGGCAATCAATTTCCCAACCACCTCATGCCCCACACCAGGTTTGCATGAAGGTTGATAAATATAGAGTGTAGCGAGAAGACAGTATGGGGCATTGGGAGACAAAGGATCCAGACAGATTGAATTGCTGTTTGCAAGAGAGACATGTGCCAATTGGTTCAAGACCTGTTTTGCCAAACCCTGCACAGGTCCTGCAGAAAGACTCCCACCTTGTTCTAGACTACCAAATACACCTTAATGGTCAGCTCAAAGTAATTACAGAGGGGAAGAAATCAGACTTCAGCCTTGTACCAGTTTACCAAGTGTGGCTAGACATAGTGTCATGAGACATTTGCATGCTGTCAATCTAGTGAGTAGAACGTTCAATGTATGAACTTTTGATATAAAGTTGTTGTGTTATACAGCTGTCTCTCACTTTGTTCCTTGTGGCGTCATCTTGCCAAAGCAACCAGATCAGTGATGTTGTGTATACAATGCAGTCTTCGCCTGCCCTGTGATCTAAAAGAAACACAATGTGGGCAGGGTAGGAATTGAAGATCGAGTAACCAACTCCAAGGCTGGCCGTAAGGATCAACCATGGACTCACCTGGAGACTGAGGATGGGATTGTAACGTCATACATTTATGATTAGATCTTGACTAGAGGCATCCTCAAAGTCAGCAGGCATGGGCAACAGTACATCCCACATGAAGTATCCCTTTCCTTTGATAATTCTTTGAGGTTTAATCCCCGAGTGATGTCAAAGATTTAATAATGGTGTCTTTTGTGGAGTGACAAATTTTGCATGAATGCTTGTTGACCACAAAGACTGACACAATTCTTTTTTTCAACCTTCTGTAACTCTTCGGGATCTACTGTCATGTTGATAATAAACTTTGGTGGGGACTTCCAGTATGAGAGTGAATCCTGGCTGCTACATTGTCATTATTGTTGTTGCTGCTGGTCTCAGCTGGTAACCCATTTTGATTTTCTTGATTTTGGGCATTCGTGGCCTCCATACTTTTTCTTTTCAATTATATCTTTATTATTTTTGGTAACAGCAGCCACTGTTCATTGGGGTTTAGTCTTTTTATGGGCGTGTGGGAGGGTGTGTCTTTCTTCTTCAACCCATACAGGTTTTTTAATCAACCAATTTTTGGTGACTTTTTAAAAATAACTTTTTTTCCCAGAAAACAGAGACCTTTCTTTAAAAGAAAAAAATTGAACAGCATAAATAGGGAAATACCAAAACAATTTTAAATAAATACACAAAACAAATTTAACAAGATAAACAAAAAAATAAAACAAAAAGACAGACGAAAGCCAGTTTAACGAAAACAGTTTGACATGAAAATTAAAATGTTACTTAAAAATTTACACAAATTAAAACAAAGTCCTTCTACTTCTATTTTCCTAAACAAATTTAACAATGTAAAAATGAGAACAAAAAGGACAGACGAGAAAACGTTTGACATGTAAACTAAAAGAATAAATTTACTCAACAAAATTAAATAAAACAATGTAAAAAAGCTTCCTGGATTTTTTTTATAAATTAAAACAGTAAAATAAACCATAGAAAAAATACTACAAAAGGAAAATTAAAAAAAAGTGATATGTGTAGAATAATAAAATCTTACTTTAAAAAAAAAAAGAAAAAAGGTCAATGTAGCATGAAAATAAAATAAATAAAACAATAATAAATATTAATTTCACATGTTTTTTCTGGATCAGCCAGCCAGCCAAGTGTATACATTTGGCAGTTTTTAATAAAATCATAATATGGCCCCATTATTATATGATGTCACAATGAAAAGAGGTTTACTCTATGATACATGCATATTTGGATGATAACATTATAGCATAACTATTACAAACTGAATAGTATCCTGTATCCTAGTTCAAACCATCTCAAAGTGTAGGTCACAATTCCCTTGGTGTGGGTATGAGTAGAATTGAGTTTATTTTTAATTTTATATTCTAGCAGCTAGAATATATGAGATTTTTTTCAATTTTTTTCAACAATGTGGCTTATATTAACAGCATTGATTTTGAATTTAATTTTTCTAAATGCAATAGCTGCTGCTGATTCTTATTTATTTGAATTCTTAATGGAAAAAGCAACTAAATTATTTTTGCTAAAAAGAAACTGTCTCAGGATTGGTATTCCCTTTGAAGAAAAATATCATAAATAATTTTTGAAAGTAGGAAATATTTATGCAGATAGTTTTCATGTAGCAAAATTTGCCAATGGTTAATTTTACATATAAATGTGTAAGGTCCCTCAAACAGAGAAGGGCCCAAATTTCTTTTACCAAACTGGGGTGGTGGTAGTGGATGGGGGTATGATTGCTACAAATTTCTTTTAACAAAAAGGGGTTGCAATTCAGAAAGTTTGGAGAGGCACTGTCCTAGCTAATATTATACAATTATTTTTTACATGTAATTTGTACTTGAAAGTATTTTCATATATAATGGATTAGATTAAATAGCATCAAAAACACAATATACATACAGGGGGTTCTTTAAGATGAAGACTAAAAATAAGTTTGTGAATGGCTGCTGTAGTCCCACTTCCAGCAAAGATGACTGCATCATGTTCACTAGCATTGGTGGCATTGCGAATGATGTCCCTGAAATAAATCATTGGAGTTAAACATAACGGGGTAAAGAGTAAATGACAATAACAACAGAAATTAAGTAAGTTCAGCCTATTCATTTTTCTAATAATCTTTAAAAAAGAATTTTAAGAATTATTAAGTGTGTGCAAAAGCTTCCAGACCTCTTTTTTGAAAACTAGAGACTGAATTTGTCCGAATTTCTGTGATGAGGAGTTATCATTATTTTCCACTATTTACATGTTGAAGACAATAGTCTGCAAGTAAATAATGTAAATAAAGACCGAGTACATTTTAGTTGTTTATAATATCATGAGAAAGATTGATTAAGTAAATACATCAAAACTTTCATTCACTACAATGATTACATATATCATGATATAAAAAATTATGGTAGTAAGGGAAAAATGAAACAATAATCAGTTACAGTTTAGTGTATTTTGCATATGAACCTTGTATACAATGGTGGGCTGAAATATTCATTGGTTATGAAGGAGTGATGCTAGAGCTATGAAATTTTGCATGCATTAATTTTGACTCTTCTTATTGATAAGTACATTGTTTATTTCCAGGTAAACTGACATTTGTTCAAAGAAGACTGTTCATCCTGCTGATCAAAAAAGTCATCAACAGTAAACATGATGTCATCATCATGAAGATACTGGTTCCCAGCCAAGTGTTTTTCCATGTTGGGAAACAGATAAAAATCAAATCAAAAAAATAAGGAGGCTGATCAACTAGTTCAAAGCCACAGTCACACACAGCAGCCATTGAAAAAAAGGATTTGTGTGCTGGAGTATTTTGCTGATGAAACAACACCCCTTTTGTTAGTTTTCCTGGGCATTTTGCCTTGATAGCCTTTTTTAACTGCCTTAGCAAGTTGGCATAGTACTTTTCATTGATGGTGTTGCTCTTTTGAAGATTGTCAATAAACACAATGCTTTTTGCATCCCAACAATTTCAGGCCATCCCCTTCTCTTCAGATGAAACGACCTTGGCCTTCTATGGAGCAGGTGAGGAGAGGTGTTTCCACTGCATGGATTGTCTCTTTGTCTCCGACTCAAAGTGATGAACCCAACAAACAATTTCAGATTTGCCTGTGATGTGACCTTTATTATGTCAAGTTCATTGTGCAGAATATTCTCCTCACAGGATATGCTAATAGCATTGGCTATTTGATTTATAGTCAATCACCTGTCATCAGTCAACATGTAGTAAACACAATGTTTTCTTTGGTGGTGGCAGTTGCAGGATGTTCAGACATTGGGTCATCTTCAAGGCTCTCCCTTCCTCACCTAAATTCAGCTGCTCACTGTAGCACTGTTGGTAAAGCTGGAACGTCATCCCTTATGTAGCAACTATGCCAGCATGAATGTCCTTGGGAACTAAATCCTTTTTCTGCAGGTACTTGATAACCCCATGATGCCAAATTTTGTCCATTTTCAAGAGAAGTCGCTACTAGTATTCTTTGAACAGTCAGATATCAGTTTACCTGAAAGGGAACAATGCAGTTATTAAGAAGAGTTAAAATGAATGCATGCAAGATTTCACAGCCCTAGCATCATTCCTTCATAGTCAGCCTATGAACTTTTTAGCCCACCCTTGTACATAGTCAAAATTTCACATTTTCTTATTGTTATCCCAAAAATTTATAACTAGGCCATGTCCCTGTTTTGCTTTAGTCAATTTCTGATATTAAAGCATTAAATTTTTTTCTGGTGGAAGGAATATATTTCATGAATATCTTTCTAGAATATGAACAATTATGTCTCTTCACATCTTTTGTTGTTATTAGCAATAGTTGCACTGTTACAGCCATCTTTTTCTCTTTGTTTAAACTTATCAAATAGGTGTCTTGCTGCTTTTCTTGTCATAGACATGCCCTCTGAGTGTTAAATTATTCGTCTTCTTTCCTCATTATGTGTTTCAGAAATTTCAACTCTTTCTGATTCTTAGTGCAATTTCTTTGCAGTTCTTATTCTTAAAACTTTCTCTCATAGTATTCTCAACATTCATTATTGTTGTTTCAGATTTTCATTTGTAACATGTAGCAAGATTAGAAATTACATAGCAGTTCTTTCGTTTTAAGGATATTTTTTTTATACCTACCTTTCTCAGATTCTGAGAAGCATCTTTCACTATTCTTATATATCACACTTTCCACTATTACTATACTATCCAGATAGACAAAATGGCTTGATTTTGATGTCCCTGATATGCAACTCACACCTTAGAATGTCTCTTTTGCTGACAAGAATGCATTTCATTATCTTACATTTAATGTTTTTGTTGTATAAGATTAAGTGCTGACACCGTGGTTTGAAACTAGATTGCCAGTGACTAACACAGGTTATTCCATTATTAAGTATATCATGTGATCATAAAGGAAGTGAATAAATAGGAAGTAGTGTGATGACTATACGTTCACTATTCACTCTTCTTGTCTATCCACTATTGTTATACGTTCACTCTCTCTACTCTACTACAATATAGATTATGATTCTCTTCTGATCATTATACTATTTGGTGATTACTACTTGAACAAATATTACTAGTGTGGATATTATTGGAAGGCGTTACTACTAGTACTGGCATCTATGAAGTCTGAAATATAATGAGCATTTTGGGAAGTGATAACAAGCTTTTGTTTGACATAGCAAAAGTGACAACTGAAGACGTCCAACTTCACAAAAGCTTTTCTCAACTATCTTGTTTAATAGCTTTTTCAATTTTTCATCTAAATCTACTATATACACAATGTTGCCTGCTTATTGTATACTAGCTTAAATGCTTTTAAGCTAGCTCCTGTGGAGGCCTCTTAATTGGGCCTTCATCACAATAGGTAGGAAGGAGAAGATGCAAAATAAACAAAAGAACTCAAAATTGATCACTGCATTTAAGTATTGCATTTATATTTAAACTTACCTTTTAAAACGTCTATGATAATTCTTCTGCTGCCATTTAATTTAAAGACAATTTGATGTACATAGATCCCTACTTTCTGTACAAACAATTATTTTTATTTCATGGGTGACTTTTGCTGGATTTTGCAATTAATTTTGATTATTCCCAAATTTATTTCCTAGCTATAAAAAATTGTTATCATACAAAAAATTCATCACAAAAAAATAACAAACAAAATTTGCTGAAAACAATCACAGTAATGAAAACTTGGGAATCCAAAATTTCAGGATTGTGGGTCTGGAGTAAAGTTGAAAACATGGACAATTTTATTTTGAAACACGGTAATTTGAGAACAGTAATTTTTTCAGAGTCTGTCTATATTTCTGAGATGAGGTATTATGTACATTATTTACATTATTCGGACTATTGTCCTCATCTTTGTCGCCATATTTATCACAATGTTTCGGCCATTGTATGCTCCGGCCTTCTTCAGGTGGTTGGAATTTCGAACTGAACCCTTTATTTCACTCAAGAACACATGGCACAGTGGATAAAGGCGTTGGTTAGATCCAGTGACAGGACCCAAAGAGTGTGAGTTCAATACCCAGTTAAGGCAGTGGAGAACTTTCAGAGGGAAATAAAGGGTTCAGTTAAAATTCCAACCACCTGAAGAAGGCCGAATGTTAAATGGGGGGAAATGCTTCAATAAATATGGCGACAAAGATAAGGACAATAGTCCAATAATGTAAATAAAGAAGTTTTTCATTTGAACAATTTTTTTGATGCCTAGAGAGTTGTGTCCCTTTAATTGTTTTTCTAAATTGTTGGTGGATATAAAAGATGGCAAAATCTCAAAAAACTAAAAAAAAATAATAAAACTTAAAAATCCAAAATTTTAATTTCAATTTAGTACTGGCTGGCCTGGGATACTTTTGAATTTGAATTCACTGAGTTGGCCTGATTCCAAAATGGAATATATGTTAACAAAGCCTACATCTCTATTTATAAAAGGCAAAGTGTGTGTGTGTGACACACTGACATTCACATTTATTATATAGATTTTCGAAGATTGATTCTGCAAAATAATAAATGCACATTAGTTTAAAATTGACCTAAAACCGACTTTGCATTTTTAAACACCCATCGATAGTGGAAATAATCAATTTTTTATGCTTTTCAGGCAATTTTCAATGAATTTGCAAGCATTTTGACAGCCAAGTGGATTATATAAATGGATATTATATGTATATATTGTGAAGATTCTATTGGCCAGCTAGATAGAATAACAGCTTTCTGAAGGCTTTAATGTTAATTCACAGCATTCTAACATGCAAAAAAAAAAAAAAAAAATGAAAAGAAAAAGAACGATAGCTTTTAAAAGTCATGGGAAGTGGGAAAAAATTAAATCTGCAATAAAGCTAGTTTCTTTTTTTATTGGCTCTTTCTTTTGCTTAAACTCAACGTTGATTCCCCATTCCAAAAGAACTGGGTAGGGTTGAAAAAGTTTTATGTTAACATTCTTTTTCATTCGGAATTTTCCAATAACGAGTCCTTTTTTAAAGCTTATCGTTTTCTGTTCATTTTGTTTAGGATTCTTTTTTTTATTAACAGAATGTTTAGTTATAGAGCTTAGAAAAAATTCGCAGGACCTGATAGGCAAGAATTAAGGCATTAGAATCAGCACGGCAAAGGGCACTTTTTGATTTTCAAAATATTTTTAATTCAAGTGATAGTGATTGCTGTATGAGTCGTACGATTTTTTTCAAGCACCTGCAACGGTAAGCCATCATTGAGTTTTTACTTTTGGCAATCGTGTTTATCAAGAAAAATAACTCTGGTAAGATTATACAGAATAATCTCCCTTGAAAATATATTCTGGAAAATAAATACCTCCCAGTATCTCAGAAACGAAAAATTCACATGGCGTCTGAAGAATTTGATTCATTAGAAGATTTATTTTGCATTATGGGTTAATGAGATGCTACTTTTGTTTTGTATAGAATTTAATTTTAATTGTTAATCCTGCCAAGAATAATAACTTTAAGCCAGGTTGTCTTTTAATTATATGGTATTCCGATGTATTTCAAAATAGCTAAAATGCACAATAAAAT